CCGAGGGTGCCGATCTCCCGACGGAAACTTCTGTGTGGTGCGGGGGCCATCTCTTTCTTTCCCGGACTTCAGGCAATGCAGGTTCTGCGACTGCGGGGAGCAGAGGACCGAAGCCAACTTTAGGTTCCTAGTCTCGCAGATCTGCCCCAGCAGTTCGAAACAATGGTCTCGTCGTCGCTGTGCTGCTCCTGGACGTTTCAAAGCCAAGGGGGGGGGGGTTCGCACACACTCCGATTGTGTTGTTGTCGTCCCAACATGCGCCTCGATCCAGATACCTACGTGAAAGAAGCCCGGAGATGGTTGTCTGGGACAGCACGAGAGATCACCAAGCGCTCAGGTGACGTCTTCCAATCGACGACCCCCTCCCTCCTCTCGGCTCTCTCTACTGGGTTCCCTTGGATGCCCCCCCCCCCTCCAGGATGACTTGAGTTGAGTATCTTCGACTGGATTTTAGTGCTAACAAATAACTCACTGTTGGAACGGCTTCTGTCCAAAGTCAAAAGCGAATGACCCTTTACGCTTAATAGGCCTTGAGGTTGCTGCGCCGCGGCCGCGGAATACCTACACTGAACTGCATAAGCTCCGCCTGAACCCAGACCCGCGGAGACCCCATCGTTGTGCGGAACGCCTGTTCTATCAGGCCACCTCTTCTCCTCCACTCGTTCTCGCGAACAGAAGGCCATGGGTCGTGGGTTCAGACCATGCCGGCTACGCTGCACGCAGGGCATTCCCCGGTCCAGGAGAAGGCGTGCGAAGCGAAAGGCAAGGCGGGCAGACCGGTTTCGAGGGGGTAAAACGAGAATAGGACAAAACGAACGGGTTTTACTGTAGACGAAAAAAACCGTGCCAATCTTTTCTTCTTTTTTTTGGAGCCATCTGATCCAGCAGACTTTGCCTCATGCGTGAGCGATAGAGCGGCATGAGATCTCTCTGCCGAAGTTCGGCACGCGTGCAAACAGTCCTGGGCGGGTCGTGCTGTCTGAGAACCGCATCTCGAAGGGGCTTGGGCTCGCTGTGATCAAATGTAACGGCCAACAAGGGATAGTGGATGGCATATAGCGAGCCGAGGGGCTCGCAAGTCGAGACGAAGGGCCCTGAGTGTATCACCCCGAGTGGCAGAGAGAGACGGAGAGACAGAGAGACGAAGGCTCTCGGGGAGACCGGCACACGGTGGTAGACTAGGAGGGAGAAGGGGAACTACCTACAGAAAGTCGACAGTTCCGCAGTTGGAAAAGTCTACGGCTTCAGGTTTCACACACCTCTCTCGCAAAGTCCCGTTAAAGGTCACTCGTGTTTGACTTTCAGCTGTGACATATGTCTACTAGACTAGATGAATCAGTAGAGACAGGGGCCACAATGTGGTGGTCTCATTGTTGGCATTCTGTCTGGTCGTGCTTCAAGTCCCAGGCGGGTGCATAAGGAGGACCAAGCTTGTTGCAATAGGATGGCTTTCCTTGCATTCCGCGGCACGCTTTGAACTAAGCAGTGTCTCCGCACCGGCGCACGGCGGGTAACCGTCTGGATTCTTCTGGGCCCACATGCTCTCTCCTGGCCGTTTCAGTGAGTCCGGAAGAGGAGTGTCCCGGGGCAAAAGAAGGTGGCGGGTCTAACATCTCTAGCGCCGGAGACAAGGAGAAGTCGGAGAACGGCGAGCGGCATGTCTGGCTTGCGCCAAGAGGCAAATATCCGAGGCCCGGGGGTCGGCAGATCGGGATTCGAAAGGATAGCCATGGTGTTTAGCGTTTGCAGGTCGTGGCGGTCGATCTGGTTCTTTCGGAACCGCTTGATCGGCAGGGTAAAGGTGCAACTTTGCTGATCCTGCGCTGCCGCCTTTGATGGTCTCGGTGGGAGGGGAGCACCGCAATGTCCACAACCTTGGCAGGAGGTACCGGTGAGCTGTGGCCGAGAGATGATGGGCCTTGCAGCAGCTTGGTTCAAAGATTTACTGAACACAACCGTTCTAGATTCCCATGAGCGGTTTAGCCTAGTTCAGCCGGTATATCACGACACGTACAACCCAATACGCAACACCTCTGGCCTTTGCCACATCTAAATCCCTTGATCTGGTACAGAATACCCGATAACGTAGAGCAACTCCTTAGTCCTATAGATTACGGGAAGTATCAACATGGCTTAATGCCCTTACAGGAATGGGCACAAAACATTGTTGCATGATGGTTCTTTCTCGGATAATCGGCCTCGAAAACTACCATGATTCACCCACGTGCTCTTGTAGTATGGCCAACTGTGCCACTATCGAGCCCACTACGCAGTAAACCGATATAGAACCAACAATTTCACTTCAGCAGGCAAGCCGGAGCATACATAATGAGGCAGAGTATAAAATAAGTCGGGGAGTGGAACTTTCGCGTCACTTTGGGGCAGTGTGATATAAGGAACATAATGGAAAGACATATGTTTGCCCCGGGTATGTCTTCTCAACCACCCCTTAATGGTTGTATTCGCTATGCGAACAACTTCATGGGCAGATCAAGAAATAGGATGCCAAGGAGATGGACATGGATGATCCTTCTCCCACGGTTCGAAAAACACATGCCTACCGTCAGTGCAGTTTTGCATCCCTGTAGGATGTATACCAGTTGGTCAGACCGATGAGAACAGATACTACCCTCGCTCTTGGCATGGAGACGAGAGATCTGGATAGGAAAATAAGAAGAGAAATAGAGGGAGACTTGGAAGAAAGAGGATTTTCCATAGGCGATCGAAGAGGGGGCAGAGGGATTAGGCGAGCGAGGTTAATTACGAGGGTAACTGAGGCCAGATTTGTCGGTGGCCTGGGTGAAGTCCAATGTCGAGCATCAGGGAGACCTAACTGGCTGCTTATTTCCGGAACGTTTATGAAAATCCATGATCTCGAGTCGTCGACAAGCTATGCGTGTAAGTCGATGATGGTGAGATGCGGCTCAGCTTCTGAAAGTTAGTAACCGAATTCATTACACATCTCGTTTTCTCTAAATCATCAAATAGCTATCAGACGCCAGGAAACACGTAGTATTAGCCATAGGATTCAAGACATGATGCATGATATGAGGCAGAAAAGACAAGAGAATGAGCTGGAAGAAACAACAAAAACATACCACACCAGGTATTCGCTATTTGTCACTAACCCAACTACCATACCAGTCCTTATAAACTATAGTGTAGTAGGTCTTGTAGCTAAGGATAGTAACTTGGGCACTATAGGCATAGTAGGCCTAAGGGAGTAAAGAAACCTATAGCTAAGGCACCGGCTAACTAAAGTTATATACCTAACTAGGGCCCTGGTCATCAACACAACCAACACGGCCAACCCTCTACTAATGCCACCAACAACATCTTACGGTTGTGACCATCGGCGGCGCCGGCAGCACTAACACATTGGCTAATATACATTCTGTCCCCGCGTCATTCGACCTGAGGATCAGAGCAGGTTCTTTCGACGGACTGACTATCGGCGACCCAACACACACACACACACACACACACAAACACGTCCAATCCTCGTTAAGACCTGCAATTAATGCTTGGATATCGGTCCTGGGGCGGCGTCCTTGTCACTCCCTTTTCCCGACCCCGCCGACTTCTGGTAGGGCCGGGACATCACCAGCCAGGACTGGGCCGCTTTCGCCTCCGACATCATGGCCGCGCTGACCGGCGATGGCAGGGCCTTGGACCACCAGAAGCAGGTCGACAAGGATGCATAACACAAAAGGCGTGTAAACGAAATCTTGACGACGTGGAATTCTTGTTTGTTGGGCGGCGCGGCCTCACAGTCGTCTTGAATGGTACGGAAACGGGCGCTGGCTTGTCTGCTGACGGGACCTTAAAATTAAGCTTCGACCCCGACAAGTTTGGCATCAAGATCGGCATAGGGGGTTTTCGGCGTAGATCTTTCTTCCAAAACGCCTGACCTAAAGAAGTAGATATAACCAGATAAGCTATCTGGCTCGTCATGGACAATGCGGTAGCCAGTATGAATTAATAGAACGATTACGTTGAAAGCACATCTGCACTCATTAGAATCATGCCTTCGTTTCTCCTTGGATCAATAGCATTACTGTTTGCGCGCCAAACATTGTTGTGATGGCTCAATACCACTGAAACTGTCCAAGCCAAGTTTGAACCAATCACTTGCCCACGTACCGACGCGTAGCCCTTCGCTTCGCGGGCCCTTGCTAGCTTATCTATAGGAGATCGGACGGGATCCTGGGTTTTCTAGTAGGTATGGTTGTATGTATTGATTTCTGGTACTAACATGATATACATAGGGATCAACACGCTTCCTCGGACCGGTGAAAGGTATTAAATCACCCAATCGGCTAGAATCATTAAACTTGAACGAATTTGGGGATCCTTCACTCTACGACGGGCTATAAAGTACGTGATTCTCCATATCTCTGATTTGAAAGAGGCCAGGCGACTCCTTTCGCAAAAGTGCCTTACCCAGCCGGAATACGGAATGACGTTGAATATTGATGGTGGGGCCGGCCGAACCGCCGAGTCCCCCTACCTAGTTCCGGCAAAATAGCCCCACCGCACGGGCCCAAGAACACGCTGTAGGATGTGCTAGACCACCGACGCGTGACGCCATAATACACTCCCTAGGTACCTACCGGGAAAAAGCATTCCCAATCAATCACCGCGCCGTCGCTTAACCCAGATGTGCCACTTTAAGTGCTTTGCCCGCAATCCCACTTCCCATGCACCTTGTTCACGTTTGACGGGTATTGCGAGAGTGACAAACGACCCGTACGTCCTCGACGCTCTCTCTCAGCTTTATACTTTCCTACATTGGCATTTTGTAATCTTTTCAAGTCTCCCTTTCCTCTCCGTCTCCCCATGAATCCATGTATTCCACCAAACTGTTCCCGCACTCAGACGCGTCGCGTCAAAGATCGGGAATCCTCACGCCCAGCTCCGATGGCTCTCTGAACTCCAAAAATGCAGCCCTGCCGCCGCCCGTCGACACGGTGCAGAGACGGCGCAGCGGTTCCCACGCAATGGGAGACCTATTGAAGGCTGCCATTGTCGTCAAGGTTTGTCGCCATATCCAACATGATGTCGCGTCGTACCCGACGACTGACCCGTTGCGCAGGCGCATCCCTCCAGCATCCTTGCGAAACCATGCACACTGCAGCCTCTCATGCTGCTCCCCCGCGAGTACCTCTCGCTCTCATGCCTTGACCTCGGCGCTCCACAGGGCGATCTCCCCTCCAGCCGCTTCTACGAATCCCACATCAAGATTCTCGACCTCGAAGACCGCATCGCCGAGAAGCCGAGCGTGCTTCTCGCGCGCAACGACGCCTCCAAGTCAGTCTACGCGCTCGAACGCGCCGCCGTCTCTGGGCACAACCTGTACACAGTCTGCAAGCTGGGCTCGTGGGTGGATTTGTTGGCCTTATCTGACCAGGCCACGGTGACGGGGAAGCATGTCGCGCGTATGCGGATGGCGGAGGAGACGAAGGTGTCTCAGCAGGGGCAGGAGCTGCCGCTGACGACGCCTTGCCTGCACAAAGGACACAAGGAGAAGAGGCTGGCGATCGAGGCGCTGCAGCAGTCGATCGTGAGGAAGAGGGGTCGCTCGCAGTCAGTTTCGACGTTTGACGACACGAGGGCAGAGAAGCGGACAAGGTCTGACGACGACGTTTCGCGCCCACAGACGCCCAGCGGATCGAACCAGGCAGTCGAAGCGAAGCCCGAGCTGACGGAGTGGATCGAGACACATCTGGACGCTGTTGAACCGACACCACAGCCGGTTCCCGAACCCAATGCTCAGCAGACGGCTGGCGATATCATGGACAACATCAGGATGCAATATACGGAGGCGCTTTACAAGTCAATGGTAGGCCGGCTCCGCCGTACCGAGGGGACTGAACTGACTCCGCCACATAGGGATCTCTGGCGTATTTTGCAAAAGGGCCGCTATCTCGAGCCCGCGCCGCCTTCCATCTTGACTGCGACGGCACCATGAATATGAATGACCTCATAGACTTCTTGAAGAGTCTTGTTATGACCACAGTCCAGATTGACAAGAAGTACCGCGAAACGATACCTGACATAATCTCAAAAATGAAGACGCACATCGACAACTCCGATGAGGGTAGCAAGCCCAAGAGGAGGAAATCCAAGAAGATGAAGTTGGGTAAGGACGGCATGTACCCCGAGGAAGACAACCATGTGCGCAAGTGGTGGAGTCTGAACCAACCCGAGTTTGGCGATGAAGACAAACCCATCACGCCGGCACAGATCAAGTCGCACGTGTCTCTGCTGAGGACTCGCGAGACGCAACTGCAGATGATTCTTATCCTGGAGATTCTGGCGCTGGAGCCTCTGCGGACGGCCGAAGGGGCCGGGGAGAGTCAGCTGCCTGGTCTCCCTGGTGAGCCAGAGGCTGAGAAAGCTGCCGAGACTCAACCGAAGAAGCGGAGCAAGCACAACTTCCCCGTGCTGGCGGACGTGCACGCCGACCGACTGTGTATCTGGCAGTCAACGGCTTCCGACGAATTGAGGATGTTGGAGGACTCTCAGGTTACTGCGCCATCGGGCGGGGAGCAGGCACTGAAGGCCTCCCCAGACCCTCTCAAGGACTTTTGCACCGATATTATTATGCCATTGTAAGTCTGACTCGCCCTGTTAGCCGCTCTCCTGCTGACAACGTCAAGCTTCGCCGCTCGGCTGCCTGAGATATGTGACTCGATCAACCGTAAACTCGGCGGACCGGTTATCATTGCCCCGCCCCAGCCCAAGACGAAGTCGTTGTCTTCGTCGTCGTCCAGCAAATCTGACGCACGGCCTGGTGCTGCTGCGAAGCGCCCCATTAAGCCGGCAACAAAGAACATCGAGAAGGCGCTGTTCAGGGAGCAATCACGGCGCAGTGTCTCTAGAGGCCCCAGCAACGCAATTGCTCTGTTAAGATCGGCGACCTCGGCCAGCATCCCCGGCCTCAAGCGGGAGACTAGCGATCTCAGCCGGAAGTCGTCCGTAGACAGACAAGGCTCACTTTCAAGGAGCAGCAGTCTGTCGGCTTTGGACGACGTCAAGGCGCAGAAGAAGGCCCTTGTTGAGGCCGAGTTGAAGGACGCAATCACGGCCATCCGTAAACCGAACCGCGATTTGGCGGGCAAGACCGTTGTTGAGGCTGCGGAGAAGCGGGCTTCTGGTGGTCTTTCTTCGATTAAGAGTATGGTTTGTCCTGTGCATATATGTCGAACGACGTGTTGCTAACAGATGGCCTCAGAATCCAAGAAACCGACTCGACACCCCCTCTTTGACTCGGTGCAGGTAAAGGTTACGCCAGCCAACCACCGGTTCCGGGATGCGTTGGCTGCAGAGTCGAAGGGTTCTAGTAATATGGCCATTCCAATGTCGAGTTTACCGCCGTCTAGCGCATCGAGGATTCCATCTACCGGGCCCCGGAGGGGCCACATCGACATCCTTGGCAGCACGCCATCGTCTGCCATCCAAGCTACTCCTGTGAGGCGCGGGGGGTCATTCTTGGATCCTTCGCCAACCGACGAGCCCGCCATACCACCCTCGTCGCCCCTGATGGCGAGGAAGCCCGCACGGGCGCAACACCTGAGTATACCCGGTAACACGATCAGGTCACGGCCTCAACTCGTTCGGTCGCAGTCATCAGATATGGACCTGCCGGTGACGCCCTGCAAGCAGCGGGCTGTGGAGGTGTTAGGAGACGAGGTAGCGGCCACGCCGACAAGCAAGCCAGCTTCGGCAGCGGCGCCACCGTCGTCTCCACCAAGGGAGCAAGCAGAGTCGATTTACGCACGACTCGGATGGGATGACGACTTTGACGACTTTTAATGATCTTGCGTTTGCATTGTTACGGCGTGAATGGGTCTTTTCTAAAACAACTCGCATACAAATACCCAAGGTGGTTTGGACTTTGGACTGTTTGGGGTTCATGGAGGATGGGAACGGCGACATACAACTATTGATGAAACATGAAATAGCATCGCTTGGAGCAGAGATTTTGCACCTGGGGTAGCATAGTTCATGAAGGACCCGTTTCCAGATATACATTGTGTTTTCAAAGTGCAGGCCTTCCTGCCCACTTACAGACTCTCGTCGCTCTTTATTCTGTCTATTGCCCCTCGGGTCTCTTTTCTATAAACATAACGGGCAGGTCCTTGACGTCTACGTGCTCCTGTGAACCCAGGTCGATAACCCTTACGGCTTCGATGCTGACGAGGCCTTCCTTCAGGGGAAGGAACTGGAGGTCTACAACGTGGCAAGCCCCGGGCGCAAGCGGTCCGACCCTCGTGTCGGCCGTCAGGCAGACGACCTCGGTCGCATCCACGGCCGAGTTGTGCTGCATGGCGTGCAGGACGTTCTCGTCCAGCACGGCGTCGGCAAGCTCCCTGGCATCGGCGGCCGTCTTGCCCTTGCCGCTCGTCGAGGGCGGCCGTATGAGGCGGACCTCGTTGCGCCTACGCTTCGAGAGTGCCACGAGGGCGAGCTTGCGCGGCGGAACGCCCGGGTTGTTGGCCTTCTCCGTGCTGCGGTTCACGACGTAGACGGTCCAGGAGAAGACCTCGCCCGCATAGACAGGCTCCGTCGGACCGCAGAAGGTCATGGTAATGCCAAGTTCAGGCAGCGGGGCTTCGACGGTGCGGGTGGCGGCCTCGAGCGCGGGAAGAGAGTCCGGTCGGGAGACGGCGGGTGCAACGAGCGACTGGGCCGCCTCCATGCCGCTGATGGAGAGCTGCGAGGGACGGTGGGAGCGCTGAATGGGCTGCATCGGCTGCATGGCGGCGTTAAAGCCCGGGTTAACGGGGAGGGTGAAGTCGAGGGTGGTGGCCCAGGTCATGCTGAGGCGCGGGGTGCAGATGCCCGGGTTCTTCTGGATGACGGCCTCGACGTGGATGTCGAGGTCGCGGCTGGGGTTTTTGGAAGGAAGATCGAGCTGCTGCGGGGAGAGGCGGTAGAGGAATGTGACGTGGTCGTGCGATACACAGGTCATGGGGAGGGCGAGACCTGCGGGCCCGCTGAGGTCGTCGACGACGCCGCCGTCGGCGATGGAGAGGGTAATGCTGGTCAGGTCAATGGGGCACTCGAAGTAGGGGGTGAAGTCGATTTCGAGCAGGGCGACTAGGGCTGGGCTCGTGGGCATGGTGTTTGGGCGAGAGAAGCGGACGCGCGTGTGTACGGCAGGGTAGATGCGGACGCGGAGCTGGGAAAGGGCACGGAGAGGCCGGGTGGTGTCCTTTGATTGGGTCATGGGGGCGACGCGAGAGACACGGAGGGCCGAGAGGCGCGGGACGACGCCGCCGAGCGCCGGGTCGTTCGTGAAGGGCTCTAGGAGGTTCAAGCCCGAGGGCACGCCGGATTGTAGGTAGCCCGCGCCGCTGCCGCCGCCAATGGGAAAGTTGGGGGAGAGAGGAGTGGCAGAGCCCGAGGTCCCGGCGGATGCGGGCCTAATCCCGGCGGTGGCCGTGAAGATAGCAAAGGGACCCTGAAGACGGATGCGCGGCCGGGCGAGGAAGACGGGGAGCTTCCATACGGCGTACATGTGGGGCTCTCTCCTGTGGCCGTTGCGATTGACAGCGTTCTCGTCCTTTTCGGCGGAGGGGTCTTCATCCTCCTCGACTTCGGGTTGATCCACAACGATGAAGGGGTCCGATGTGTCATTGACGGTTCCCTGGAAGATGATGTCCATTGAGGGCTTCTCACGGTCCGAGGCATGGCTGTTGACGATCTGGGTCTCTAGTTGAATTACCAGCCTGCTGAAGTGGGAACGCAGCGTCTTTTCGTCAACGAGAGGCACTCTCAGAACTAGGAGCACGTCGATGGTCTCATCTGAAGCATCGTTAGTATTGAGAGTCTCTCATTACTCTAGGACATAACCAGGTACCGAAATAGAGTGTATCCCTCCGCTTGATGGATTCAAACAGTGCTTTGGTGTCGTCGACACCCTTGAATGCTTCTTCGAGATCGAGGTTTGTTGCCTCCGGGATGAAGTATGTGAGGAAAGCATTTTCAATGAAATTTGCCACAGCGGTGGGCTCTCGTATTTGTTCGTTTATAGCCATATTGGGCTACCTCTTGTTCCGTATGCTATCGCGGCTCATCTCAGTTGTGAGCAATCGGAGGACAGTTCCACGATGCGCGTCCGTCTCCGACGCTGAGCCGGATTCAATGCCGAGCAGAGAATGGTCTCAGCGACACCTCATGAATACAATCCTGGTGTTAAATTCGCAATCGTAAATGTGCACTTGGGATGAAGCGCTTTGCGCTCCTTAGTTGTACAATGCAGTAAGAGGTAAGAGCTCGATGAAAGGGCCAACGGTTGGAGTTAGACAGTTTGAGCTGGACTGTTTGCTCAGTGTCTCTGGCACAGTGCGATGGCTGGCTCGACAGGCTTACCTCAGCAAGTCTAACATGGCTTGACATATCGAAGAATGGGTCCATCCCAAGCTACCCCAGTTTGTGTCCCAAGCGCCAAATTGCTCATTCCGACCAGAAATATTCGCAACCTTTTCTCGCGTCCCCCCTACGCGACGACCTTCCACGTCAGCCCATCGCCTGCAACGTCTTCCAATCGTCGCCAGCGTCATCATCAGCGCATGAACGCTCCGAATATAGTCGTCTCCACCACGAGTCACTGGTCAACAAACTGAGCCATAATGAACGGTGCCGGCAGCCCTTACAGCCAGCCTCCTGCGTGGCAGGAGCATCGCACGCCCGATGGCCGAGCCTACTACTACAATGCAGCTACTAAGGTCACGCAATGGACCAAGCCAGAAGAAATGATGACTCCGGCTGAGGTATGGGTTGAGATTGGTAGTATTATGTAACCGCTGGCTAATTCGAGACGACAGAGAGCCCTCGCCAACCAGCCATGGAAAGAGTACACTGCCGAAGGCGGTCGCAAGTATTGGTACAATACCGAGACAAAAACGAGCTCCTGGGAGATGCCTGATGCCTACAAGAAGGCTTTGGGCGCCACCAGCGGCCCAAGCACACCTGCGTACGGATCCTGTGCTCCTCCATCTCCGTCGTTGACTAACAGCAGCAGGCCTGCGCCGTACGACCGAGGTGCACCTTCTGACAGGTACTCCAATGACCGTTACGATTCTTATCGCGACCATCGCGATACTTTCCACGAGTCACGCCAGTTGACGTTTGGTAACGACACGACAGCTAAAGCGTTCGTCCCCGCGAGCAACGAGCCTGAGTTTGCCACACAGGAAGAGGCTGAGGCCGCGTTCAACAAGCTGCTCAAGCGCAGCGGCGTACAAGCTGACTGGAACTGGGAGCAGGCGCTGCGAACCATCGCAAAGGACCCCCAGTACAGGGCAATCAAAGACCCGAAGGACCGAAAAGCAGCTTTCGAGAAGTACTGCCATGACATGATCGTCCAAGACAAGGAGCGCGCAAAGGAGAGACTGACAAAGTTGCGTACTGACTTCGAGACCATGCTCAAGCGCCACCCCGAGATCAAGCATTACACGAGGTGGAAGACGGCACGGCCCATGATCGAAGGTGAGACCATATTCAGGTCTACGGACAACGAGACCGAGCGCCGCCAGCTGTTCGAGGAGTACATCGTTGAGCTCAAGAAGGCCCACATGGAGAACCAGGCAGCTATGCGCAAAACTGCTATGGACGGTCTGATTGATCTCCTTCCGAAGTTGAATTTGGAGCCTTATACGCGCTGGTCCGACGCGCAGAGCCTCATTTCATCCACGGCGCCCTTTCAGAATGATGAGAAGTACAAGACCCTGAGCAAGTTTGACATATTGATCGCGTTCCAAAACCATATGAAGGCCTTGGAGCGCGCTTTCAACGACTCTAAACAGGAGCAGAAGAACAGAAAGTTCCGCAAGGAGCGCAAGGCTCGTGACGGTTTCATCTCCCTCCTTGCCGAGCTCAGGAAAGAGGGCAAGATCAACGCCAGCACAAAGTGGCGTCAGATTTACCCCCTCGTCGAAAATGACGACCGGTACAAGGCCATACTCGGCCAGGGCGGCTCGGGTCCGCAAGAGCTCTTCTGGGACCTCGTCGAAGAAGAGGAGAAAGCGATGCGCGGCGCCAGAAACGATGTCTACGATGTCATTGACGTATGTTGACCCCGTTTCCCGTGACTTTCTGTGTGGTTTCACCATGCTAACAATATGCAGGATGAGCGATTTGATATCACACCCCAGACTACGTTTGAGGAGTTCTATGGCGTTATGAAGAAAAGTCGACGTACTGCTAACATTGATCGTGACATTCTTCTGGTTCTCTTCGAACGAGTACGTGTCCAAAATCCCATCACAAATTCAACGTCGCTAACGTACGCGTTACAGGCCAAGGAAAAGAGGTCGCTCAAGAGATCGGACGACGAGAGACAGTCTGAACGTCAACAGCGAAGGGCAGCTGACGACCTCCGGGCGTACTTGAAGCGTATGGATCCTCCCATAACCCTGGATGACACGTACGAGAAGGTCAAGGTTCGCCTGGCGGAGACGCCCGCCTTCCAGGCTGTCACTTCGGAAGATGCTCGCATCGCCACCTTTGATAGATACATGAGAAGACTCCGCGAAAAGGAGGAAGAGGCCGACCGTGACCGTCGGCGCAGACGTGGCCGTGACTCTAGCGAACGCGACCTGTACCGCGAAAGACCCCGGTCTAGAGGTGAGCGATCTCATCGTAGCAGTGGCCGTGCTACCAGGCGAAGTCGTAGCCCGGAGCCGGACGCGTACGAGGCGGACAGACGCAAAGCCATTGCCGAGCGCGAGCGTAACCACCGTAAATCAACCATGGCCGAGAGCCTTCTCACCGTGGACCGGGAACGCCGGCTGTCACCTCCCCCTCGCCGTGAGAGGGAGCGTGAGCGCGACAGAGACCGCGAGCGCGACCGTGACTATGATCGCCACCGTTCTCGTCGCGACGACGATAGTCATTATGACCGCGAACGACGGGATAGGGAGGAGGAGCGGGAGAGGCTCTACCGACGACGCATGGGTTCCTATGACGAGCTTCCCTACGGCGATGAGCGCCCGTCTGGATCGCGACGCCGCCGCGACGAAGACGAAGATGATCGACGGGATTCCAGAGACTCAAAGGTACGACGCACCACCTAGGCCACCGTGCCCTTCCGGACCAAGCCGCTGACAACCAACACAGAGAGTGAGGAGAGAAAAAACACCTCGTGAGCGCACCCCCCAACGTGATATATCGCGTCACAAGAACAGGACTCCGCCGCTAGCTACCGCACCCTCTGCTGTTGCCCCCAAGGACAAGGAAACGACGACGGTCAAGAACGCCCCGAAGGAAAAGGAAAAGGAGAGGGAGAAGGAGAAGGAAGACCCCGCTGGTGTCCACTCGGGGTCTGAAGAAGGCGAGATCGAGGAGGACTGATCGTGTTCATCGGCGATGCCTCGGGAACAACTGCACTTGCGGACCACGAAGAGTGACTTTTGAGTACGTATTGGAATCACCAAGCCGTTACTTGAGAGCCTGATGACCGCAGCGCATTACAGACTATATGGCATCGCTCCCCCGTTTCGCGGCCTTTCTTCCTCGGTGCCTGCATATGCCCTTATGAGGCGAGGCCTTCAGAAGTCCGCTGTGCCGGCCGTCATAGGAATGTAATCCTAGGGCCGGCCAGAGTTCGTATGTATCGTTTTTCACTCTCGCTATGTTCTAATGGTTAGTTACGTATACAGTAGCAACACGAAGAAAACAAAAGTCACTTTGCTTCAACAACGTTCCTGTGTATTTTGGTTTCTTTACATGAGACGTGTTTATGTGTCTCTTCAAGTGAATCTACGAGTCTTGCTCCAGCATAACGTGCAACAGAGACTGACGGCAGTCATCCTGCTTATTCCATCGCCCCTCAATCTACAGATTAGTCAAGACCCCATATGAATAGGTGAGACCAATGGAAACCAATGGCCCGTAGCAGATTATCGGTTTTCCTCCCATCGAACTTGTGGTAGAGGGGCACCATATCCATAAGAAAACTATGCATCTCCGTAGGACCAGGCAACAGGGGATAGACTGCCGTCGCCGTTGTTATCCGCCGGCGTCGTCATCCTTGGACGTGTCATCCTCCTCTAAACCGGAACCCTGATCCTGACAGCCGGAAGCGCGCATCCCCAGCAGCCGCTTATGCCCCTTTTGAACGCCCGGAACGCCTGAGTTGAATGCATCATGACAAGGGAAAACATCCTTAAGGATGCCCTCTTCAACTCGTCTTGTCGTCGTCGTTGTCCAGGAAGAACTTTCGCGAGTTAGTGAGGTGAGCATGGCTGACGGTAGTTGCTTGTGACTTACGAAATTGCCGCTGGCTTTCTGCTCCTGGTCCAACTGAGAGTTGGCCTTGTTGATACGAGGGCGGTAGTTCGTAGGGTCACGACGGAAAGAGACGTCGAGGTTCTTGAGGAATGTGTTGCAGCCGGTCAGAAGGGACTCAGGCTTGTTAGCGTGAGCGTCAATGCCGGGCTGGCCGTCGAAGACAATGACACGGTCGGCGAGATAGGTGGCCATGATGAAGTCGTGCTCGACGATGAAAGCAGTCTTCTTGGCGTGCATGATGAAGCGCTTGATGACGCGGGAGGCGATAATACGCTGCTCGGAGTCGAGGTAGGCCGAGGGCTCGTCGATGAGGTAGATGTCGGCGGGCATACCGAGAGCTAGGACGATGGCGACACGCTGCAATTCACCACCGGACAAGTTCTTGACTTCCTGGTCGATGAAGTCGTCAAGCTTCAGGGGCTTTACGACATCGGTCTGGAACTGGGGCGACAGGAAAGATGCCCTGATCTTCTTGAAGAAGAGCTGGCGGACCGTGCCCTCAAACTTGGGGGTAATGGTCTGGGGCTTCATGCTGATCTTCATCTCAGGGACGGCGGACTTGGTGTCAGGCTTCAGTGCACCGGCAAGTAGACGGCAGAAAGTGGTCTTTCCGGTTCCGTTCTCTCCCATCATGACGATAATCTCGGAGTCGGTAAAGTCGCCAGAATCGATGCTCAACTTGAAGTTACCCAGGGTCTTCTGCATCTTGGGGTACTTGAAGGCACGAGACTTGTCGTTCATGAATTCGTCGGCACCCTCGGAGAGCTTGAAGGTAAGGGACTCGTCGCGGAAACGCAGGTTTTCGGTGGGGATGTGACCGTCGAGGAAGATGTTGATACCTTCACGGACAGACTGGGGCAGTGTGACGACGCCGTAGACGGCTGGCTTGCCGTACAGAACGCAGATGAAGTCGGAGAGGTAATCGAGGACGGACAAGTCGTGCTCGACAACGATGATGTAGTCGTCATCGCGGAGAAGAGAGCGGATGATACGGGCAGCCGCGAGTCTCTGCTTGACATCGAGGTAGGAAGACGGCTCGTCGAACATGTACACGTCGGCCTGGCGGACACAGACAGTACCAATAGCGAAACGCTGCAACTCTCCACCGGACAAAAAGTTGATCTCGCGGTCCATGATGTGGTTGAGCTCCAGGGTGTCACAGACCTCCTTCTTGTTGCCGAGGGTGCTCACAGCATCAATCAAATGCTGGACGCTCTTCTGAGGACCCTTGACAGCCCGAGGGATCTGGTCGACATACTGGGGCTTGACAACGGCCTTGAGGTCATCCTCTAGGAGCTTGGTGAAGTAGTCTTGGTGTGGCAAGTTAGTCAACTGGGGAGCGAAGGATTATAGAGTCGGGAAAACATACTCTGGAGCTCAGAGCCACGGAAGTGCTTGATGACATCCTCCCAGTCGGGAGGGTTGTCGTAGCGACCCAAGTTAGGCTTGAGCTTGCCGCTGAGAATCTTCAGGGCGGTACTCTTTCCGATACCGTTGGTTCCGACGAGACCTAGCACATTACCGGGACGGGGCATAGGCAAACGGTGAAGCTTGAAACTGTTGGCAGAGTAACGGTGGGTGACCTGGGTCTCAAGGTTCGTGGGCAGGTTGATGATGGTGATGGCGCTGAAGGGGCACTTCTTGGGACAGATACCACAACCAATGCATAGTGACTCGGAGAGGAAGGCGATGCGGGACTCGGGGCTGACTTCGATGCAGAGCTTTCCGGAGCGAACGACAGGGCATGACTTCTTGCATTCCTGGCGACACTTCTTTGGCTTGCACTTGTCACTGTTGACAATGGCGACACGGGTGAGCTTGTCCGACATGGCGATGATGGTGCCCGGCTGATCGAAGGCGGGGTTAACGACGAGATGGTGGGGCAGGAATTTGTGCGCGCAGATTGGGCACAACAACAAATCAATAAGAGGAGAGCCGCGCGCGGTTGAGAAGCAGTTGTCGTGCAGCGGTTGCAGGGCAAGCGGGATCAAGAGAGAAAAAGGTAAAGCAGCAGGGCCGGTACGGTAATTCGGCGAGGATTGGCGAGATTGTCGAGGCGTCGCAACCTGGCCTTCTGAGGGTGACGGAGGGGGGAAAGAATTTTGGTTTTCCAATTTCTTGCGAGGAGAGAGACACATACAGTTATTGCGGCGGTCAGCCAATTTGTGTGCGCCGTCACTGGTTGTGAGTGCGTGAATTGGCCAGGTTTGGCGGGGCAACTCCCCTACCCTACCACTTTCCAAGTTTACCCCGCCAGGAAGGGTTGTCAGGTACTGTGAAAGTACTATGTCTGCTAGAGAGTAGGGATGGGTACCTTATCGATACCTCCTCGCCACCTGACATCACAGCTCTGATTGAGGCCAAACTGCTGGCCTCACTGCTTGTTTATTGTAGTGTAACCGCTGGAGATTGGCTAACCTTTTGTGACAGTTCTGTCTCCATAGCAGTCTTTGCCGGCTTGCTTCCATGCGTGTACTCGCTGTTGAAGAATTGGAACTGAATCCAGTAATGAGGGTTTTTGACGTGTCTCAGCTGAACTTGGCCTGTACACTCACTCGAGAAGTCACCGACTTGAGCCTGTGCCTTCCGGTCTGTCAGGGCGACAGTTACCTTTCAGCTTGTACAATGCCCATACAACAGGCTAGCGTGACCACTATTCCAGGAGTAGCTCCATCCAACTGTATTGGCAACGGAGATCCATCTCTATTTACATACCTGCCGCTAAGATGGCCCGCTCAAGGTGGACGGATTATCGCCACTCAAATGTCGACTCACCAGCCGACTAGACTAAACAGCTTGTCAGGTTCGCGACATTCGGGCTCAAAATGAGTCGGAACATGGGTCGTTCACTTCCAGTTCTTGGATACTCATTCATCTCCCGGCTTCCCTGTTATTCTAGGTGACTCCAATTCCATCATCGACTGTATCATTCCAACGTTGTGACCAAGGACAGTTACCAACGAGAAGGTAATGTTGGGAGAAGTAGTATCACACTCATTCGGTCAAAAGCTAGTTGAACACATGGCAAACCCCATTGTAAATCCAATGTTTGGTTTAAGTCTATTCGCAGTGTTATGATGCAATAGGAGTAGTTTGTGATCGCCTACAAGCATTTCGAGAGGCTAAAGGTTGTTGACCTCAGACCGCTGGGTTAGGACTATAAAGTCAATGTTGAATCCTTCCTGACTGAGGTCCTCTGTACTGAATTTTCTCAAAGATGTGTAGCAAGAAACATGTTGACCGCCATGCACATCAGTGAAAACAAAAGGCTTCAAACAAGCGATAAACTCTTTGTCCTCTATATATCAACAAGCCACTGTCGCTTTTGATTGGTGCAAACTGCCTTGGAAACACCACGCCGTGCAGCAAGCGGACAATAGTTAATCCTAGAGTCGCCCAAGACTCAACATCGCCAGTTTGCCTCTTGAGAGATCATGGCGAGGGTCTCGGCGCCGGCATCATCGTATGTCACCCACCACTAGAGATAATTTTACAAAGCCTTCCGAACAGAGCAATATCTCACGAAGCTTTCCATCCCAGCCAAGTATCGATTAGCTATTCAGAGGTATCCAGTTGTGGGTTGGAATGTGGTATGAAAAGCAACTGTAAAGGCCAAAGACACGGCCCTTTGATGCTCTCGAAGTTGCGTTGTCAAAAGCAGCGGGGGGTTCCGAGTCTCGGTGAATAAATAATGCCTGCTCGCAGCGAGTTCAGCGGGTGTGTGCGCTCTGGCAAGTGGACCCACTTTCTGCACAGTTCTCTACTATCCTATTCGTCCATTTCCCGTGCCTACCTCCTACCACCGACAGCAGAACAGTTGTGTATGGCTGTCTATTGTTGCCTTAGGCCACAGCATTTCAACCTTTTTGGGGGTGATTCAGTATGGGCTAGCGCTACAACCACCTGTACCTCACCCGTGCATCCACCTCAATTCTTTCCTGCCTCTCCACCAGTGCATTTTCCATCCACCACCACCCTTCACCCGCCAGGCCTTTAGACTACCCAGCACGTCACTTGTCCACTTCCTTTCTTCAATACCTCCTCTGGTCAAGATCAATGGTACTTGCTGCCTGGAGGCCATTTGTTAATGACTTGTAAGTTGTTCTCCTGCCCTCTGGTTACTGGCCCTGTAAGGGTCAGCAAGTTTCCCGTCACGAGCCATCAAGCCCAGCCTCGTAGCGGCGCGCTCCCATCCTGATATCCCCATCGGGTATGACCTCGGCTATCCATGGGATGCGCCGCGTCGATGGAGATGACTTTGCTTGATGATTCTGATGGTCTGGTGAATCGTCATGGCCTTCTGGCTTCGGCTGACTGCCACAATGGCATCGCCATCAACTTTCAGCCTCGTCTCCATCGACCGCGTCCCCGCGATGCGACGAGGCCGATAACTTGGTTATTATTTGAATTACACTGTATATTCTATGATTATCTCGGTCGCCAGGCCTCAATCATCACGCGTTCTTTGCGCTTCTTCCCCCAAGCGATCAGGCGATGGGCTAACGCCGTGTCATCCATAGCAGGCAGCCTTGACTTAGACCATCATCATGTCTAGCCCCCTCGAACCCGGTCCCACAAACGGGTACCGGTCGCCGGAGGGCGATTCCCCCTCCCCAATAGTCGCTGCCGGGCACCAGAGCGATAGCGATCTCTCAGATATGCGCGAGAATGCCACACGTCTCGCTTCATCGTCGCCGTCGCCGGACCCCAACGACTCGACCGGTTACATGAATGGCGCCCCTGACTTTGCTGAAACGGAAAGCTCTGGTGACGAAAATAACGCATCTGATGACGCCGACTTCGATATGGATGAAGACGTGGCGTCCGTTGTCCAGAGCGACGGAGCCGGTGATGTCCAATCCAGCTCCAACGACTCCCAGCAGCCCACGAAGCGGAAACCTGCCGCTAGAGAGGATGACTTTATCAAGGCGAACCCCGAGCTATACGGACTGAGACGGAGTGTACGGTCTTTGCCCGCTCACTTACATTACTGCACTAGCTAACAGCACTCTGTAGTCCCGCCCGACGCAACAGCGTAGAATGGTTGGTTGGACTCGATTTTTCTATCAGTGACTATAGCTGATGACATGGCAATAATAGGTCGATTCAACTGATGAATCCGAATCCGACGCGGCTCCCACCAATAGGAGAACCGTCAAAAGAAGACGCGTCGAGACACCCAGACAATGTAAGCTCCATCACCTTTGGGCAACTCGATGAGAGCGGCTTTATCAATGCTAACTTCCATTTCTGTAGCTTCGAAACGAGGCACGCCGGCACGACAACCGTCGACGGATTCTGATTCCGACTCCGATAACTACGGCGGTGCCCGCGCAAAGAGTCTCCAGAAGAAGGCACGGCGTCAGCGTGAGGCCCAGCCGAACCTTCTCACCGAGAAACGCTGGTCGAGCAGGCGGGCCGCCCAAGTACAGCAGGGTGCCTACGAAGAGAGCGATGTCGATGACGAGGAAGACGGATCCGAGCTCACGCCCAACTACTACGCAGCGGACGTTGTTGACGACTCCCCATACATTGACAAAGTTCTTAGACACAAGCTCAAGGATGATCTCGAGCTCAGTTGGAGTTCAACGAGGAACGATTTCGAGTACTATATCAAGTGGCAAGGAAAGTCACATCTTCACGACACATGGGAGACGACGGACACTCTGCGTGGCATGCGAGGCTACCGGAGAGTCGAGAACTACTTTCGAACCATCGTGGAGAATGAGCTTCTGATTCGCTTTGGCGAGGATATCCCTCCCGAGACCAAAGAACAGTTCTTCCTGGATCGCGAACGAGCCGAGGAAGCATTGGAAGACTATACCAAGGTGGACAGGATCGTCGCTGTCCGCGATGGCGATGATGAGACTGAATACCTCGTCAAGTGGAAGGGCTGCTACTACGACGAGTGTACATGGGAAGCAGCATCTGCCATCAGTTCGGACTTTCAGGACAAGATTGACCAATTCTTGGATCGGTCTTCACGCTCATGGGTTTCTGACCGCAAGGAATCGAATCCGGAGACGCGGACAAGAATGACCAAGCTTGAGGCGCAACCCGACTACATCAAAGGCGGCGAACTGCGCTCTTTCCAGCTCAGAGGTCTCAACTTCTTATGTCTCAACTGGACTCGTGCCAACAATGTCATTCTTGCTGATGAGATGGGTCTCGGCAAAACTGTCCAAAGCGTGTCGTTCCTCAGTTGGCTGCGCAACGAGCGCGAGCAGGAGGGCCCCTTCCTCATTGTCGCGCCCCTCAGCGTCATTCCTGCATGGGGCGATACCTTCGACAACTGGTCCCCTGACATGAACTATGTCGTCTACCTCGGCAATGAGACATCTCGCAGCACCATTCGTGACAACGAGCTGATGGTCAATGGCAATCCCAAGAAGCCAAAATTCAACGCCCTTATCACCTCTTACGAGATGATTCTCCAGGATTGGCAGTTCCTTCAGCAAATCAAATGGCAGGCTCTGCTTGTCGACGAGGCCCATCGCTTGAAAAATAAGGAGTCTCAACTGTATGCGAGACTTGTCAGTTTCGGTGTGCCTTGCAAGATTTTGATCACCGGCACACCCATTCAGAATAACCTAGCTGAGCTTTCCGCACTAATGGACTTCCTCAATCCTGGCAAAGTCGTCATCGATGAAGAGTTGGAGAATCTTGCTGGCAATGACACTCAAGAGAAGCTGCAGGACCTGCACAAGTCAATTGCCCCTTACATCTTGCGTCGCACAAAGGAGACTGTCGAGTCCGATCTTCCACCCAAGACCGAGAAGATTATTCGTGTCGAGCTTTCGGATGTTCAATTGGAATACTACAAGAACATTCTCACCAGGAATTACGCCGCACTGTCCAACGCCACAGGCCAGAAGAACTCATTGCTGAACATCATGATGGAGCTGAAGAAAGTCAGCAATCACCCTTATATGTTCCCCGGTGCCGAAGACAGAGTGCTCGCTGGTAGCACCCGTCGGGAGGACCAAATCAAGGGTCTGATTGCTAGCAGTGGAAAGATGATGCTCCTCGATCAACTGCTCACAAAGCTCAAGAAAGACGGCCACAGGGTCCTCGTTTTCAGTCAGATGGTCAAGATGCTGGATATCCTCAGCGACTACATGGCTCTCAGGGGCTACAAATTCCAGCGCCTTGACGGCACGATCGCTGCGGGCCCTCGTCGTATGGCAATCAACCATTTCAACGCCGAGGACAGCGACGACTTCTGCTTCCTGCTTTCCACCAGAGCAGGTGGCTTGGGTATCAACTTGATGACAGCCGATACCGTCGTTATTTTCGACTCCGACTGGAACCCACAAGCTGATCTGCAGGCTATGGGACGTGCTCACCGTATCGGGCAGAAAAAGCCTGTCAGTATCTATCGATTGGTGTCGAAAGAAACAGTCGAAGAGGAGGTTTTGGAGCGAGCTCGCAACAAGCTTCTGCTTGAGTACCTAACAATTCAAGCTGGCGTTACTGATGATGGTAAGGCATTCCGCGAGGAAATGAACAAGAAGGGCCTAAGGATCGACGGACCGAACTCCGCCGAGGATATACAGTTGATCCTTAAGATGCGCTCGCAGAAGATGTTTGAGCAAAGCGGCAACCAGGAACGACTGGAACAACTCGACATCGATTCAATCTTGGAGAATGCTGAAATCACGAAGACAAAGGTCGACGACAAGATGAACCTCAGCAGTGGCGGCATTGACTGGGACAATTTCATGCAATACACCGATGTCAAGGTGGATGACTTGGCACTTGACTGGGACCAGATCATTCCTGCCGATGAACTTGCTGTCATCAAAGCCGAGGAAGAACAACGCAAGAATGAAGAGTACGTAGCAAAGGTTGCTGCTGAGAGCGCTCCACGTAGGGCGACAATGAAGAATCGGAACGAAACGGACAGATCCGACCGCCTTGCGAAGAAGCGACAGAGGGAGGAACAGCAACGCCGGGAAGCTGAAGAACAACGTGCCCTGCTATCTGATCCTAGACGCCCACTGAACGAGAAAGAAACGCGGAACCTTCTCAAAGCCTTTTTTCGTTACGGTTCTATGGAGGACCGCGGTGACGAAATTATCCAAGAAGCCCGACTTGGCGAACGCGATCGTGACTACATCAAATCCATTCTAGACGACTTCGTAAAGACTTGCGAAGATGCACTCAACGACAATAACGCACGTCTTATGGACGATGAACGGAAACTTGGAAAGTCATTGACGAAAAAGGATAAAAAAGCTGTTCTGGTCGACTTCGGTGAAGTGCGGAAGATGAATGCCGAGACAGCTGTCGAACGCCCGCGACAGCTTCGCCTGTTGAGACAAACCATTCGGAAGAATGATGATTTCAAGACATTTCGCCTTGCTGACGCGACCAAGGCCGCGCATTACTCTTGTGAATGGGGGGCGCGAGAGGATGGGATGCTGCTTGTCGGTATCGACAAGTATGGGTTCGGCGCTTGGGCACAAATTCGGGATGACGACGAACTGGAAATGTCGGACAAGTTCTTCCTTGAAGAGCACCGTATCGAAAAGAAAGAGGAGCGAAATAAGGGAACCGAAAAGGTGGTCAACTCCCCTGGTGCTGTCCATCTCGTTCGTCGTTCGGAGTATCTGCTCTCTGTTCTTCAGGCCAAGCACTCAGGCGACCCGCTAGCTCACAGAGCCGTCGAGAATCACCATCGTAATAACAAGAGGCTGGCGAACGGACATCGTCGCAACGACGTTGGCAGTGGCGCGGCATCTCCTGCTCCAATGGTCCCTAAGAAGAGCGGTTCACACCGAGACAGAGAACGCAGCCACACCGACCATCATCGCAGCCGTAGCAACGTCGATGAAAAAAGCACGCCCCGTCCAGACTCAAAGAGAAAGCACTCTGGTCATGACGAGGGCCGCATCCCCAAACATCGGAGAATGGACGAGACGCGGCGCACAAAGAGCAATGGCGATGAGCAGCACTCTCCGAAGGCTGATCGACCCCGGCACCGTGATGAAGGCGAGCGCAGCAACAAGCACCGCCGCCCGGAAGATCATCGACATGGAGACGATCGTCGTCGTTTGAGCAATACCCCGCGAGCCAGCCAACCCGATAGTGAACGGCGGAATCAAGCCTTGCGCCGACTTGACCAACTCCGCAAAATGGGAGACAACAAGGAGGAGAGAGAGAAGGATGCGGATGCCATGCTGTGGTATCTCCTGAAGCCCGTCCGAGGGAATTTTGAGGCAATTCTTGTCACGACGAAGGAGAGAATCAAATCCAGCAAAGAGCGTGCTAGAATATTTGGCGAGGAGCTGGTTGTGATCGGTAACTTTCTAGACCGCGAATTCGTTCAAGAGCGAGACGATGCGCTCAAGAACCGCTTCTGGTAGGTCTTGTTCATCCTGTGGGCGATAAGAAGCTAACCAGACCATAGGGAGTTCCTGGCGAACCTATGGCCTGTTGACAGCACCAGTAATGAGGTGACGGGCGAGCGGTTGAGCGCCATGTATAGAGTCCTGCGGGACAGAGAGGTGAAGAAGCACAACGGAGGCAAGCCGGCAGCGGCGCCAACGAATGGCACGGCAGCCACCTCCTAGGTGTAAAGTCTAACATCATAAAAGCAACGGAGAGACGCACGACCATTTGTTTTGCGCAGTCTTGATTCAGTCTCAACACGTGTCTAATTTCAGCATTGGCCTGGCGTTTCGGTATTAAAGGGGAAGTCGATTTTTTTATCGAGGCGAGGGAATGAAAGATAAACTACATACCCGGACTTGCATGGTACAGGACGACCCGATTTGGAGTTTTGCGAAAGCATCATGTCTTCATCTCCTGCGGTTGAGACTTGTGGAGATAAGGAAGGTCAGGCTGGTGTGGCATACTTTAACGGTTGACATGGCGGCGGCAAGCAAGCCTTGCGGCATTGCAGCGGCCGGTCACATGACGTTAGCCTTGCGAATGTCCCAAGGAGCGTAGCCTTGTCGGCCGCGACGCAAGTGGGCATGGACCGTCTATGCCCACGGCGTTGGCTCACATCGGTACTGGCAAACAGCGAAAGGGAGAGGGTCGCGTTTCAGCGCCCCTAGTGGAGAGAGAGACCCTGTCACTCATGTTAAATATTTGCAAGCAGCGAGAAGGGAGTTGACGCGCGCGCACACACTGAAAAACAACGGGAACCTGCATGTGTCTAGGTTTTGTTTTGGGGCCGGTGGGAAGAGGCCTGATTCATGAGCATGGTGCGAGCGCGCAGGGAGGGTCTAGAGAAAGCCCATCCACCGGATATGTCACGGCGCAAACAGCATCATGAAGAGGCTGCGGAAGATATACCGTTCTGCTTATCGATTCAATATTTCTTGTCCCGTGATTGCATTGGTGCCTGAAGCCATATACCGGGTTTTACATACCGGTGCAGGTCGCAGAAAAACGGTGGGCGAATGTCTGGCGGTGTCATGGGCCTGAATCCGCTGTCAAAGCCTGTCAAAATTCTAAGGGCCAGAGTATTAACCGAGGGCGCCTGGCAGCCGGCCGTCTTTGGGACAATTATGGCCCGAACTCTCGGAAAGACGACATCACGTTGAACGCCAGACGAGTTGAGACTGCCATGTCATCTTGCGATTAGTTGTAGGTAGGTACATTAACGCTATGGATCGTTCCGTGTCAGGGCGTGGGACGCCTCTATCTGTCAGCACTCCAGCCCCCTCGGGCGTTTCTGGGGCAGCGTGTGTGCGCGCGCACGCGTGTGGTGCCCGGCGTAATGAAGCCCTCGCTTGCGGTAGCCTACATTGTGAGACGTGTGATGGAGTTTCCATATTCAGGACGAGGCCGTTTTATACAGAAGGGCAGGTGATATTTATATACATGATACTGATGCGACGTGATCCCGGCCAACTCCGTACGTGAAATACCTCCTGTAGACCAAAACTTGGGGCCCGAACTCTTCGGTCCCGGCAGGCCGATGCCTTTCTATGAATACCTAGGTAAAAAAAAAAAAAATGATAAACGCCAAGTAGTCACGTAACGAAAACCCCTCTTTGAATCGTGCTCAGTCTATCAGGGTCTCCATCCCTTGAGGAATTGACCCAGGGGATATCGTCTCAGCGGACCGCCGTCTTTCATGCATAGGCGTTGTGGGGCGTCCTTCGTTGTTGTTATTGCCTCCGTCAATCGTGACACTGGCGTGCGGTAATGATTTCGGCCTTTCCGACAGAGACGGTTTTGACATCTTTTCAAAAGGTCTCGCAGGCAGGGAGGCGTCATCCTCCTGCGCCTTGGTGACCATATTCTCAGCACGCTTGTAGACGGAGCTTTGAATGGGCTTCTGGATGGGTCGCAGAGGCGGGAGGAGCTGGGACTCGAGTTTGTCTTCAACGTATTTGTAATGCTGGTTGTCCAACTTGCCAGCCAATGTTTCCTGGGGCATATCGGCAAGCTCGCGGTTCTTCTGGGTCTTGAACGTCTGAGCGACGCTGTTCTTGGGCGGCTCAGTTGGCTTCTTGTTGGTCTTTCGGGGCTTCTTGGTGGGCGCCCTCTTGGGTTTCTTTGCCGACGCGTCGCCTGCGGAAGCAACCGAAGCTTCCTGGCCAACAAAAGAAAGCTTACTTTGCTTGGGCTTGGCGGCCTTCTTCGAGGCCTCTGCGGCCTTGATTTTGGGGCTTGCCGTGGGCGTTGGAATGCTCTGGACGGGGTCAACAAGCTTGCGCTTCATTGTCTCTGATGCAGTGCTAGAATCAGACTTGGTAGGCGAGCCTGGCGTGGGTGAAATAAGCTGCACTTCGAGGTTGTCCCTGACAAGTCTGTCCCGGCGCCGCTGATCCTCTCCCTCGCTGAGGTACGCGGATTGGTCACCGCGAGGCTCGTCGAAGCGAGGCAGAGCGGCCCAGTGAGCAACATCGTCACATTTTCCACGAACCACGAGGTCCCAGCAGTCCTTGAAGTCATTGTGCTGCGGTTCTGAATCCGTGTTGATCCAGGCGGTGAAACCGTCCCGACGACTGCGCGTGACCTGGCAGAGCTCCTTTACGAGCCTTCGAACGCCTGGGATTTTCAAGCTTGTTCCGACAACAATGACCGCGTCGGGACGCGACTTGAGGTCCACGCTCGACACTCTCCCAATGGCCTCTTCGTCCGGATTGAACTCATTGTAGAGCACCATCCTGGGGCGCAGGCGACCAATGCCGTGACTCCGTCTTTGCTCGTACTGGGTTCGAAGTTCGTCGATTGTTTTGCACTCCTCACACAGCGGAGCCTCGTGGCCCACGAAAAGCTCCGTCTTTAGCGGTCGGATATCGGTGCATTTCGAGCAGACCATGTGCTCGACGCTCCCGTGGAGCTGAATTGTTTTGGGCCATGGGCCCTTGACATTGAGGGGAACATTGGTCTTCAATGGCTCCATGTTCGTGTCGATGCAGTCGACGTTTTGGCTATAAAGGCGTAGGAGTCGGTTCTCTGCGGCAAGCGACGCCAGTAGGTGGTGAAATTTGGTGGGCTTGGCCGCCTTGACCATGGTAGCCAGGTCGCAAATCATTTTGTGGAATTTCTCGGTGGAGGAGTCGTGCTTGTAGACTGAGGCGTCGAACAAGTGTTTGCCCGAGCCTTTCATTTTGTGCTCATTAGGGAGTGTCGCGAAAAGGCCCGTTTTGGACCGAAAATCAGGAATGCCGGCAGAAACAGAAATGCCAGCACCCGCAATTACGACGATCTTCTTCCGTTTCTTTAGGGCAGAGACGAGGCGGGCCAGGTTTCTGTCATCCACATCGCATTCATCCAGGTTGAGATGCTCCGTAGTACGCTCCTTGGGCGGTGTTACCTTGCGCCGCTTTCGGGGAGGCTGGCCATCAGGGGCATCGTCGGCGTTGACGTTGATTGAATCGGCAGCGTCGTCGAGCTTGATGGCGGGCACGGAGTCGTCAGCAAGCTCCAGCTTGATTGGTGATTGGGCTCCGGAGGGCATGGAGGACGTGGGCGAGGGGTATCGTTTTGACGCGTCAAGAGCGACTTCGGGCGACGAGGGTATTGATGGGGACTTTGACAGAACTGAGAGGGGCGAGGAGAGAGTGGAACCCGAGGGAGAAGAGATCTGATGGTGCGCGTCGACGTCCATATCCGAGGAGGCGGAAGGCGTTGTGTCCATTTTGAGGTGAGCGGTCGGGGAGGAAGGGGAGGAGGACGAACAAAACAACCAAGAGACGAGGCGCAGGTACATCGGCGAAACGTCCTATACCATGGCGATTGTTCGACGCTTTACGGGGTTGTGAGGTCCTTTCTCCGAAAATTGTATGAAAGGGTTTTCGTTGTTGGCAGGAAGGTGAGAAGAAGTGTCGTTGAAGAAAGACGAAGTGTGGAGAGCGGACGGGCGAGGGTACCTTAACAAGTACATAACCGTAGCATTTGCTTGCAGACGTACATGGATTGGGGGGAGCACGGAGGAAGAATGGGGGGCGGAAGGTGGATGTGGGAGCGGACGTGACTTGGAACACACGCCAAAAGCGAGACGGGGTGGAAAAGCCTGAGGTGCCGTCAACACAAGTCGGGATAAGCCCGACCAGCAGCAGTGCGAGATCAGATTGGTATGGATCCTGTCAGGGCCGGCGCGGCAGCAAAGAATGCGGGTGGTGGGTGGGTAGGTGTGGGAGGGAGAGAGGGAGAGAGACAGAGAGACGGGAGAAAGAAAGAAAGAAAGGGTAGGGGACGCGGCGGCGGTTAGTGCTTCGCTGTCGCGCTCTGATGAGCTGGTACTGATGCTGATGCTGCTAACTTCTGGGTTCGTGCGCACGCGCTCCTCTGTGTTTTGGTTCCGACTTTTCCAAAGCAGAGAGTCGCCCACCTAATCTCACGTTAGGTCTTGGGTTTCTCTTCTCTCCTATTCGGCTGTAGGGAGTTCTAGCTTTTAACAGTTGACGGGTTAGCCCCACTGAATGTACATGTCCGCCTCAATTTGCAGAAAAGATACATTGATCCCCGACCTTCCGTCTGTTCTCTGGCCTCCCCTCATCTTCTTGTCTTTCCATTTCCCCTCTTCTTCGACTCCCCTATGCATCCCGTCGTCTCCCTCCCTCTCTCTGTCTCTCTCTCTCTCTCTCTCTCTCTCTCTCTCTCTCTCTCTCTCGTCCTTTGAGCCATGCAACCTCTAGGGTGATGACGGTCAGCCCGTTACTTTACTACACTAACAAGAAAATGACTCGGCATGTGCCTCGGGAACAATGTTCCTTTATCCCGCACCTGGCCCGTCTTCTGGACATGATTTTCACGGACCAAACCCTACATCGAGTCCCTGTCCCCCCCGCGTCTGGACAAAAGACAAAAACATTGTTCCCAGAGTTTTGAACTGCAATGCCTCGGGGTGGAGTTGTGTTCTTGAACAGGAGGCAATGCCTGGAAAAGGTGATCAAAGATCAAAGGCTACATGGCCGAGTTGCGGGTTGGAATAAGCTTACGGCGGCTATCCATCCAACAACGGTGAGTGTGGCCTGTCGATCCAGCGGTGAGCTGCAGTAAGATGCAACACGACAGCAACGATTCAACTCGCCCTTAAGTCTCCATGCGGGGCCCGTCTCCACGACTGCCAAATGTCGGGTGCGACTGCAGTTACCCATCGCCGTCGCTGTTACGGCTCGTGCGGTCTGCAACTACCATCTCATCTCGCCACAGAAACCAGAGTTGGCAAACACGACGTCAATAAGCGGACGAGCTGAAGACACCCCAACAGAAAAAGAAGAAGGGGGGGACTTAAGATCGGGCATTGATGGTTTTATCGAGCTGGGCGGGTGCCTTTGTCCCGTCTAGGTGGCTCGATATTGAAGGCTTGAGCAAAAGTCTGTTGTTTATCCTGGTGTCTTTGCCGTCAACAATGGCGTCGGTCCACGGCAAAGCAAGGCGGCCGAGAGTCTCGGGGGCCAAAAGTGACAAAAACACCACATACAACACATGGGTCACAAGGTGGAAGAGTCGGACGGAGTGGACACTCACCCGTTGCCCGGAAACACCTCGGATTCTGCCCTATTTGTTCAGTGTTGTGTTGTCGTCCACCCCTGTCACAATCGACGGGGTGCTTGGCTTGAGATGCAGGGGTCATCGGATGGACGTCACAGGTCCCTTCCTTCCCCACGAACACAACTTGCGCCTGCAAACTTACATCAACCACAGCACCTAAGATAGTGTACTCACAAGCCAGCCTCAGTGTGGCTCAACTTGTCACCGACCCCCTCCAAACTAGGCTTAGCTTGGAAGAGTCAGTCTCCACCCCGCCTCGAGCCTTGGGCGAAGTTGAGGCTGAGGTAGAGGTGGGTCGAATGGGGCTCCTTCATTGTTCAGCCCCGTCTCCATTGGTCCGTTACACCTGGTTAAGATTCGCGGTCCACCTAACAAGTCAATGTTAACGTCTGGAATGGGATGCATCCTTCCACACTCCAGCCACACTTCGCATCACCTTTCAATTATCCTCGCATCGTGCCATCAAGCCTCATCAAGGCCACCACACCAGAACGACATCATCTCGTAGTTGCAGTGTTCTGTAAGAAGTGCCGCGCCTGGCTCATCGCATGATCTGTCACAGACTTCGTTCAATCTGATCTTAAAATGAGCTTCTGCCGGCTGTCAGAACTGCTGCCTTGAAACAATCACTCTAGCCTCGTCTATTCGCCGCGGTGGTCACTTATGGATACACTCGCGCAATAGACATCAAGTCCCCGAATCGATGCCGATGGCCGAATCGAAGATGCCCCTCATTCTCGAAAGCGGCATGAACGGGCCTATGCAGGTCGACCAGCTCGACGTCGATGACCTCTTCGGCGACGGCGTTGGTCTGTCCCTCCATACCGCCCGCCCTCCTACCAAGCATTTACGCCAGAGGATAGATGAGCTGCGGACTCGCGGTTGCTGCCAGTGAGAAGCCACTCCTTCCATCAGCGGACCTTGTCGTTCACTCACACTACCTATATAGGGGAGTAGCATGGTCGAAATCCGGCGCCATCGCCTCCATTTCCCCTGACGGAAAGACCTTGGAAGCCAGGTTTCTCCGCTCTCATCCCGATGATGGTAATTGGGGTCTCAGCGAACCTACAAAGGTTGACCTCATCTCCATCAACGCCTCTAGCCCCATAGTGCACTTGGCTTGGGCTTCAACAGCGAACCCCGAGCTTGCCGTCATCGATGCGACTGGTCGAGTTGCCATCTTAACTTACTCCATCACATTGAATCGCCCCTTTGCGACGCGAAAGTGGGATCATGATCCGAGTGATGATCTCCACGCCATTGTCGGCAGCTACTGGCTTCCACTTGCACCCCAGGCCAAACAGGTAACCTCCCATCAGACCCCCGTCACTCCTTCACGCAACTGACTGTTCAGTACTATGTGAGCCATGGACCGGCCGTCAAGGATGGCAACCAGTACCGGTACGAAAGCTCTTTCGTGCATGCCTACGGCCCCTGGCATCCTAATACCTCCAAGAGCGCTCTCCTATGCGTCACCACAAACGGCCATCTCAAGATGTTCTGGGCTCAGAACAACAACAAGATTGAGGAAACCACGCTTGAACTCGAAAGTGTCAATTCTTCGGATGATTTGATTACGCATGCAGCGCTGCACAGCGATAAGAGTAGGCACCAAGTATGGTCCTTTGGTGGCGAGATTCTCTGACAAGCTCTAGGTAACCTATGGATTGCCCTGGCGACAACCTCAAAACAATTGCGCCTTGTGCGAGTTGGCATCAATTGGGGCTTGCCGCAGTCTCAATCCGACAACAAGCCGCCCCCGGGTAGCCAGGCGCTCAACCCAACCCTGCAAGAGAAGCATGTTGCAATCACTAGCTGGCTGCCCAGTGGCTCGTCTACCACACCAATCGACTCTGCCGCAAACCAACTAACCCACCTGGAGATCCTACCGTCAACTCTGGACCACACAGGCCAGGGCTGGGCTCCTCTCATCATCCTCGCAGTTCGCACTTACTTGCCAACACCCAACACTCCCTACCAGGAAACACAAAGCATTATCGACAAGTGGGAGGTTCTCAATGACCAAGCACAGAGCCTTCATCCGGCGTTCGAGCAATTGGGAAGTCGCAGAAACAGCACAGGTGCGGGCCCAGCTGTAAGTTAGTCCATCCTGTTGACAAAGAGTTGGGTCTAACAGTCAAAGCCCACATCCCGACTCAAAAAGCACGACCCCGTCATCGTCAACAAGGTCATCATTGGCGTTCACACTCTTCAGTTTGGCAGGGTCATTTGCTTAGCCTTCAGTGATGGTTCAGTAGAATACCGCGACAGGTTCACCCTACAGGAGATCTACAACGAGATCAATCTTGATAGAGTCATGACACTGAACCAGGTGGGCTTCACCTTCCAGGATGAATCGCCTTGTATGTCAAACTTTGGTGCTTTACGTTCGTGCTTCGACTCACCGGCTGCTTAGGTCTGCAGATGGCATTTTCCCCAACCAACTGTTCCGTTGTCAAGATACAGGACGATGGCAAGGCCAAGTGGAGCAAGCTACATTATCCCTTGGGTGACATTGGCAACTCCAGCCAAGACGGTAATATTTTGATTGTCCAGTCTCTCCGTAACCATGCTGACATTGAACAGCACCATATGCCGCCACATTGGCAGCATTGACAGTAGCTGCCTCGACAGCAACGTTCAATAACATAAACTACGACGATATCCTGGCTGTCGCCCGACCATACGCAGACAAGAAGCGTACGTTTGCTTGATTAGCGCTCATCGACTGCGATAGCTGACCCCTTGTAGGTTTCACATTCGATTGGATCAACGAGATCGTGCGCATGCTCAAGGTTCCCGTCGACTACTCCGAGGATACCCACCACGATAGTCTCGTTAGAAACAGCTCTTTGCAGATGTGCTTGAGCATCCTAAACCACCTTGGCTACAAAGGCATGTTCCAGCCTCGTTCCTTTGGCAGCAAGTTCGCTATGCTGGCGCTCAATGCGCGCAACGTCGTCATTCTCATCACAATCGCGAGCAACACCCCCGTCAACATCCGAGAAAAGCTCAGCCCTCTCGACGAGCACGAGGTTGTTGAAGCGCTCGCTGGCTGCGCAAAATGGTCTCTCGACCTTCTGTCCTGGCTCACAGATTCTCTCTTCGCCCTCCTCGATGACCCGCAATTTCTTGCCCTCCTCACGCCACAGCGCTTCTCCGAAATGAGCACCTACCTACAATCCCGCTCCGATGTCTCCCTCCACCTGCTCCTGTGCTCCTCAACACGCGGCTTTCTCTCTGCCGTATGCCGCCGTATCTTACACCTCGAGATCCTCTCAAATCGTGCCATTGAGTTCTACGAGCGCCGGGCCGCCATGCAGAACGCCACTGACCCATCTGCACAGGCCAAGGGTCCGCATGTCGTCCTCTATAAGGCTTACCAGAAGATGCAGCGCGTCACCTCGGGCAGCCTGATCAAGGTGCAAGAGTTTGACCGTCTCCTCACGGTTCTCAACAACGACATCCGCTCCGCATACCAGAGCTCACTCGCATCCCTAGCGGCCAAGAACCCCCCCGGCCCCGGCGGTCAGAAAGCGATTGACGCACAAATTAAGAATGCCCAGATCCACTGCGAGCTCAACATGCTGCTCGCGTCGTCGCCGCCGCCGGCTTTTCATCACGTCCTCCTTAAGTTCTTCAACTCGGATCTCAAGGCGTACCGCGCCCAGGCCGATCCCTCCAAGCTCTTCTTCGCCGACTTTGACCTCCTCGAGATCGACGACGATCGCCGCACGCTGGCGACGCGTAAGGCCAAGGGGCGGTATATCGACGTCTTCAAGCGCATCGAGCTAGCCGCGCCGCCGGCCCGCGGCACGAAGGAGGGCGACGAGGCTAAAATGGCGCAATGGCGGCGGTGTGTCCGGTGCTCGGCGATCATGGAGGATGTGTTTGGCTCTAGGCCAGGCTTCACATTCGTCCTGGCTCAGCAGAGGAAGTGCTCCTGCGGTGGCCACTGGGGTCTCCTGCCCAAGGGAGCTCTCATAATCTGAAACAGTCGATAGACGTAGCAGGATACCAAGGAGGATTGAACAGATTTGTTGGAAAGACCTCGGGTAATTATTTCGAGAACTAGGGGTACTGAACCCAGCTATAGCCAGGGCATGTGAATAGAGAAGTATAAGATGACCCGCCATTCGCAAGTTGGATATGTTTACACCCATTTATCGGGTTTAATCAGACATAAGTCCGACAACTTTCTAGTTTTCCAACGCCTGTGAAAGACAAAAGGACTGCGACTAACAGGAACACGCAGAGTAGCAGATCGACAAGACAAACCGCTGAAGGGTGATTTGGCGCTGAGTGAAGCATGGAATGCCATGATCGTGCTGAGGAAATTGCTCGAGAGAATGTCGGCCGTTTTGTGTCAAGCACGATCTTATTTTTGCCCTTAGCCGCCGTGCACACAAATGCAAAGTCGGGTCGTGCCTACAGGCATATAATACAGTCATCTCCCACCAAGGTCATGGCGAACTAGTGAGAGGCGGGTCTTGGTGGTACTCTCAGGCGATGGCGGGGCCTCTCTTTGGAAGCAGCTATGAGTTGGGCGCTAAGGTCTATGCCGGACCACCATCATTCACGTTTTCCCGAATGAAAGGTGACTTTCGGCAGCAGGAAGCCGCGGCGGGAGGTTGTGGTAGCTGGCGGAAGTCGCGTCGAAGCCTGAAGGCCTTCGCAATAGCGTTGGAGACTAGGCTCGTGATAGGAGTCCTGGTCGGAGACTGTGCGTTGCTCCCCCCAGACGGGAGAAAACGGGATCGGGGGCCTAAGGGGGCAGGGAGAAGAGGGGAGGGGGAAGGGGGGATGAAAGGGGAATTTCTGGCCAGTGAGTGCGATTCCTCGGTTTCAGCGTTGACTCGAGGCTTTGAAGACCCCTTGGAACCAGCCATTCCCCATTGTTGGTTCGTGTGCCGTTTCGTGATACTTTGGGCATTCAATGGAGCCTACGCCTTGGGCTTTGCGGCCGAGCTCGACATCGTGGTCTATTCCCAGCGGTGAGTGATAAGAGTATCAAAACCCTCGACGTCGTCGGCACATCACCATTGTGTAGGATTGTGAAGGCGTACAGCTTCTTTGAATCGGCATTTCCATCGTCACAGGGTACAACCAGAAACTACACGATGGTAGGTTTGGAAGGTCTGTCCAGACTGTCAAAGGACCAGGGGTTTTTTTGGTCCGTATCGGCTCTCATGTCATTTGGTTCGAGTCTTCGGGGGGGGGAACTGATCTGTCGATAAAAGAGATTGCCTCGACATGCCTTATCTCTGAGAATGTTCTAGATCCCGGGTTGAGAGCATCGGTAGATGTAAGCAAGATCAAGGAGGCGTTTCTGGAACAATCGCAAACTTCTGGTATTCGGTGGTCATCAATGTTGGTAAGGAGATGGCCAGGCTGCATCTTCAGCCCATGAACCACGCCTAGGATCCCTCGGTACCAAGTGACCGTTGTCCAGTGGTTCGCCATGGGACGAGAAGCGGATGCCTGTTTCTCCCGAACGAGAAGGTGATTGCTTTCTCATGTCACCTCACCTATGTCAAAGATAGCCAGCGGGTCGGTGTTGTGAGGCTTCCTCCCTGAAGGCTTCACCGTGTGCTGCAGGCCTTGCTGCCGCATGTTCAGGCGTGTGGTCCATGCGACTTCTAAGCACGGCCAGTGTAGAAAGCGTTGAGTATCCACCCCCCTTCCCCCCCAAGACACTTCTTTGCTTTTGCTAGGCACTAGATCGAAATGGCTGTGTTGTCTCTGCCGTTGCCCCAAAGGCCCAGTCCGTAGTGAGCCTCCTAAGGATATTTCGACGTCCGTAACACAACCTCCACAGATAGCAGACACAGTCGTTCCTGGCCAAAGAGCTGTGGATGCATGGATTCGTACAGTCCCCGTCGGCAACATCATTGCTGGCAAGATGCCTAAGCGCCGGTCCCATAGGTGAAATAACCCGCAGACGGGTTTAGGTAGCCAAACAGCATGGAGGCGGAGCTCAAGTATATGTCCTGGCGCGGATCATATGGGCCATGAACGAATGACGTGACGCGTAGGTCGGACGTGATTCCTGGAGTGTGCCATTTGAACCCCTTTTAATCCGGGGGAGGTTTGTATCCTGGAAGATGATTCGTGTAGCAATAAGTATTCTTCAGGGCTGGAAACCGCTCAACATCCCTGGCCATGGGGCTGTGAATGATTCCACTGCCTTGTCAACCGCTGTGAAGATAGAAACACTGACCGTCGGCGTAGGGATAAGCTGGCACCAACCAACCAAGGGTCCCTGAGATGGGTGCGCCACATCTCCACCGCCACATCTTAACGGTTCTGGTAATTACCAGGCACGACGCTATACACTAAAGAAAGTGGTTGTTGCTAAAGGATGGCGAGCCGATGGCATGGCATGCTGGCCAAGACGCCGGCTCTTGAATGAAACTGATTAGCCGACTTAGGTGCCATCCGCAAGGCTTGGTGCAGCCGATGGCCCATGAGTTGATGTGAGCTAAGTGGTAAGGCATGCCGGAGTCCCTCCCACCCTGCAGACCCGAGATGAAGTACTGGTGGTTCGGTTCGATGACGAGCCCTTGTAGGGCTTACGCATGGGGGTATTCATTGGTTCAAGAAACAATACACTTGATATACGGATATGAAGTTGGCTGGGCGAGTGGCCGTCAAATTATTCGAGAGACCGAGAGGTAATTTGAGCTCAACGATCTCGTCTCGGCAATGGCCATTTAACAGTCGGTATTGGCCCGTGGAACACGATACGACGTTGAAAAGGCGGCGGTCCCTGATGGAAAGGAGGGTTGATGAATTGAGATTGGCAGCAGGGGTCGTCTAGAAAGAGCAAAGAAGGTTCGAAATGCGAACTGCGCCCCCACCTTGCATCACTACCTGTAGGTAGGTACCTTGGTACATAGACTGCCCAAAGTAGCCACCTACCTACAGATAGGTAGGCTCTGGCCTCACCAGGGTGGAAGGTCGGCCAATCATCACGCAAAGGCTTATCGTGACCAAGGCCAGTTACTCGGTGGCTCTCCCTTGCCTTTTCCTGCCCATACGTACGTATAAACTGGTAAGGATGGTAGAGGCGGGACTGCCTGCCCAATGCGGTGTTGGTCGCGTTTGATACCGCCCCCAAGCTCTGTGAGATGGGAGCATACGTTTATGTTGCCGTCCACGTCGAAGCCGTCTGGCTCATCCATCATCATCGTAATTACAGCTCACGGCCAACGAGACGACGTACTATGTACACTGCCTTAATGCAAAGGCCCGATCGAGCCGCTTGAGCAAGCAACCAAGCATGAGGTACGTATTCATCTCCGTTCTGTTACCTACATGGTACCTATTGCTTTCTTCATCTTGCTCGATGGAAGGAACTCGCCAACCGTGTGGGCTTTTTCCTAAAGTCTATCTGCTTGAGCGTCGCAGACAGTGCACAATTTGAGTGCTCGTCCTGTCGCAAGAATTCATCAGCTCAAATTCAGTCCGTTTCATCGAGACCTAAGATGACGGCTACATGGCCACCATTTCCTAGCACCAAGACCCGACGCGACATGACAAGCGCATTTGCCACGCCTCTCCTACACAGTCGGATAACAAACATTTTGAACTTATTCCCGCTTTCGCTGCCGGGGACCTATGTTATTATTGTGCGATGACAAAGTCGGCACTGTCGCCTGCAAAGAGCTTCATCCGCCAGTCGCCGGCATGCATGCGGCTGTTCCTGGCGGCATCTGGCATGCTTCATGGCCGCTTCCACCTTATGCGCTCTGCTGGTTAGATCGTTCTGCTGAGTGACCTGCATCACGCAAACTGCCTTGACCCTATCAAGACGGCCCGTTACCCCTTGAATCTTCCGGAAGTTCGAGCTGTGCGGGTTCCGTCGTTTCTCGCATCCTCGGAGGATCGATCGTAGAGGCCAGGATGTTGGGAACAATGAGCCAGTTAGAGACAAAAGGAGGTGAGAACTGAGCAGCGAAACAGACCGACTGCCTCGATGGCTCACGAGCAATCGCTTGGCGTCCGGACCGTAATGCTTGGGGGAGGCTATACTCATCCATTTATTGTGCCAGCACCAAGTACGGATGTGTAGTACCAAGTGATACCATAGCCGGGGGTGCCGCCGCTCCAAAATGTCATCTTGACAAGATGCGTATGGTGCTTTCCGTTCCTTGGCCTCCCTGATGGTTGCAGGAGGTAATTGGTGGCGGTGTCAATTACAACCGTTATCTCATGGCGCGCTAACTTCCTGTTCGAATTATGAGACCCTCGGATTCTCTTCCCCGTTCATCCTTCGCCGTTCACCCTGGTAGGACATGGGAGGGCGTGGCCGGAGCAAATAGGCACATGGCATTTTCCTGTTGCGACTTTCATCCAAGTGGATAAGGAGAAAGATGACTTTGACAACTGTACGGATATGCTAGATGGATGAGGACCTTGGGGCACCACCAGCAACGTGATTGGCTTACGCTCAGAGTGCACCGTCCAGAAGCGAGCTGGACACCGAACAAGAAAAGCCAGCAATGTTTGGGAATGGAACGGGGGATAATTCCAAAGTACAGAATGGACCATGTGAGTTATTGCTACAGTATCCGTACTTCTCACTAGCCCCTCTCATAGGCGTTGTGTCTTGAGGCCGTCTCATCAGCCCGCCCAGCCATCTTTTGGTCAGAGGCATTGAAATCCGGCCCTCTTCTTACTTTTTCACTCACCTTTGGTGTTTCCCGTTGTCTCTCCATCGCACCGACATTGTTTCTTTTTCCCGAGCTGCACTTGTGTGTTGGATATGCAAGTGCCATATCCGTTACAGTGTCAGGCCATCCACCCCGGTGAACAGCGCACATAAGTTAACCAACCTATGGATCTGCGTCGCGCAACCGATAAAGCCTCCGCCCACATGCTACCACCCCTACCTAAACTACATAACCTGCTAACCTACCTATATAGTACCTACTTGGGCACTCAAGGTACCTACGGATAGTGCACTTACAGTGCGGCCAGCGTCCTTGTGTATACCGATTGGCCGTGGTCGAGGTGGTGGGAACCCCTGCCTCATTCTCACAAGGCCTCCCACGGCATCCCACACACATCCCCGAGAACCCGAGAAACCTTGGCCACACAGCCCCTGCCCCTACCTTCCCTCATCCCTAGCCGGTGTGGTCTTGGCTCCAGGGCGGACAGTCAGTCAGTCCAGGGCAGGGGTCTCCAGGTGGGACAGCCCAGCAATGCTACGACCCGCAAGCGACTATCACTCTGTCCAACGACTGGTGTGGTCTGCCTGCCTGTTTGCTGCTGCCGCGGCCGCTACCTCTGTTTCTGCCACCGAAGCCGTCGGGCGACTCCTGCCGTACCCGTCTAGTTTGCCCGCCACTTTCAGGGCTAGTCGCCATGTCGCCCGCAACGCCCGCAACGAACTCTCTGACGACTTGTCCGGGCGCCGGGGGCATCAGCATTCATAAGCATCGCGCCTCCCGTGCCCGTTCTGCCTGCTCTCGTTCGTCTCACCCAATTGCTGTCCCTTTCGACGACCCCGCGACAGCCCTTCGCGCTCATCTACGAGCCTTCGCTCACCCAAGAGCTCTGCCGACAGACAGGCCCTTGTTGTTTTGTTTCTCTTCTGAATTAATCAATTGTCAATCGACGACTCCCGTCATCGAGGCTCTAGTGCCGTCGACATATCCTGGCTTGCGCCCTGGCCCCATTCGGCGATTAGATAACAAAGCCCCCTACACAATGGCGTCCCCTCTCAACCTCGACAACCTCAACTATGTGCAGCTGGTACCTTACAATGGCTCCGGTCCCACGGGGGGCGACTCTCTGACGGAGAATCTGAACATTTGGTACGAGGTAAGGCCGTCACTCGACACGCAACTGCATGCCTTGGAGTCATGTGTACAGAACGCTGATACCGAGACCTGTAGACTGGCGACGTAGGCTGGATGATCACGGCCACAGCGTTAGTATTGCTGATGGTTCCCGGTGTCGGGTGAGTAATATTCAAGCAGTGTTGAACCTGGGCCTGGTCACTGACAAACCCCTCTGTAGTTTCTTCTACTCAGGATTAGCAAGGAGGAAATCGGCCCTGTCTCTCATCTGGCTCTCGGTCATGTCGGCAGCCGTCACCAGCTTCCAATGGTTCTTCTGGGGCTATTCTCTGACATTTTCACACACCGCTGGCGCCTTCATTGGCGATCTTTCGAATTTCGGCTTCAGGGACGTCCTCGCCCGTCCGTCCGTTGGCTCTGACCGCCTTCCCGATCTTCTTTTCGCTGTCTACCAGGGCATGTTCTCCTGCATCACAGTCGCTCTCGCCACAGGTGCTGTGGCTGAGCGTGGACGCATGCTGCCCTGCGTAATCTTCATGTTCATCTGGGCCACCGTCATCTACGACCCGATCGCTTGTTGGACATGGAACACCAGTGGCTGGTCCAACAAGATGGGCGGTCTCGATTTTGCGGGAGGAACGCCAGTGCACATCGCCTCCGGCACCGCTGCTCTAGCATACTCGATGATGCTGGGCAAGCGTCGTGGCCACGGCACGCACGAGCTCAACTACCGACCACACAACGTGACACATATTGTCATCGGCACCGTCTTCCTTTGGGTCGGTTGGTTCGGTTTCAACGCCGGTTCGGCTTTGTCTGCCAATATGCGTGCTGTTATCGCCGCTGTTGTCACTAACTTGGCAGCCTGCGTTGGCGGTATAACTTGGTGCGTGTTGGACTACAGACTAGAGCGCAAGTGGTCCACCGTCGGCTTCTGTTCTGGGGTTGTTGCTGGCCTGGTCTCCATCACACCTGGTTCTGGTAAGTACTTGAACATCTCGGATCCCACTATTTATGGGAAACCGTGGCCTGACCCATCATAGGATACGTCCCCGTTTGGGCTGCCGTACCTTTCGGCATTCTTGGGGCTGCGTTTGCCAACTACGCCACAAAGCTCAAGTTCATCCTCAGAATCGACGACGCCCTTGACATCTTCGCCGTCCACGGAATCGGCGGTCTCGTTGGCAATATCTGCACTGCTTTTTTTGCCGCCAACTACATTGCTCGCCTTGATGGTGTTACCGAGATTGACGGCGGCTGGATTAACCACAACTGGATCCAGCTTGGGTACCAGCTTGCCGATTCGTTCAGCGGCGGTGCGTACTCGTTTTTTGGCACCTGTATCATCCTCTTCGTTATGAACATGATCCCTGGTCTCCGCCTACGTGCCACCGAGGAGGCTGAGATCCTTGGTATTGATGACGCCGAGATCGGCGAGTTTGCCTACGACTATGTGGAACTCACTAGAGAGGTGCTCAACGACATGGATAACGAGGCGGCCAGCCGGTATTCGAATGACATAGGCTCATTCCAGCCTATAGAGAAGAACAACAGTATTCCCTTGATGGATGCCCGCAACTTTGCTGGATCATCACAATACCAACCACAGTTCGGTCACGCTCAGTGAAGCAGAGGGGGCAGAGGTTTCCATTGCACAACCTGGTGCATGAAGCTAAATCTCGGGCTCCCGAGAAACCGCGACAGACCTCTAGTTCGACATGATCGGCTGCTATTTATTTACTATACCAGATGCAGCGCACGGCATTGTCGCTGGCCCAACTAGGAAGAGTCGTCACCAACACATGCGAGCCGAGGGCAGCTGTAGGATGCAATGACCTATCATACCGACCTCTCGGTGTGGAAGAATGAGGAAACGAGCAACGTCTTTGATTTGTAAACATAGTTGGATTCCCCCACCCCAAAAAGTCTACGGTGATAGCAAGGAAAGTGGAGATTAAATCAGTCCCTTCCTGACCGCTGTATATGTAATTAAATAAAAAAAGCAAGACCCTTGACGACATAGGGTCATTCCTTTTGGATAATATAGACCAGAAACGGAATTTCTTTGTTCAACTTGATGGGTCAATGTCGTGGTGCAAATGACCGACCCCCTCTTCTCTTTTCTTGACCCCCTTACACGTATTTTCTGCTGGGTTATTCGAACGTTTACGCTGCTTTTCATTATCGTTCTCTAGGGAACTGGATAATGCTACGTAGCGGTAGCTGACGTTGACGCCCAGTAGAATTTGATGAAGCTCGCGATCACAAGAGCCCCTACCTATGCTGACCAGGTCCTACCTACCTACTCACCCGGGTGACAAAAAAGATGGCCGCTTTTCCTTACTATGACCGCATGGCAACCGGCCATCATTTTTGTCACCCGGATGCTACTGAAGAACGCTCACCTTGGTTCTGTCGATCCAATGCAACCTGGTGCCAACCTCTTGGGAAGAGCCTATCGGGCACTAGTAGCTCCAAAGCCCTATCATCCAGTGGGGAGCTGTCAATGCTTAGTGCAACTTTGATTGGATGTCTTGCAGGCAGCCACAGCACAAATATGGTATCTTCCCCATGCATGTGCACCAGATCTAGCCGAATCGAGCATCTCTGTTCCAGGGGTCTCTCAAATGTATCCATCCCTTCCATCGACGACCTTGTCAAATGACAACTTACCATCGTTGACCATCTTGTGTGTATGCCACACTCGCGCACCCTTACTTGCATCTTATCCTCCTTCATCACTGTTACCATCGTCTCATGGTTCCAGGCACCACCGAACCACCGCCATGACGTTGGTTCGATCGACATCAGTAAAAGGTTACTGCACGCCTCTTTGACAACCAGCAAACCACCATGGCCGATACAAACACATCCTTTCGAGACAAAGCGCGATTTTTCCGGCAGCTAGAATCGCTGGGGAGACAAAATGATGACATCGACAGCGACGAGTTTCAAGATGCCGAGCTGCGTCACAGACAACAACTGAAGGCCTTTCAAGCTGCGGTGCAACCCCGTCAAACACTCCAAGAGAGGGCACAACAAGAGCCGCAGCTGCAGTCGCAGTCGTCGACTCCCCAACAGCTGATTTCGGACCTCAGAGGGACGTCGTCGATTCCAGTCCCAGTCCCGAGCTCATTCACAGACCTTAGACAGAAGAAAGTCATTGAACGGACCCCTCTTGCCGAGATCAAGGGTCCCGGAAGGAAGGACGCTCCTGCTGCCGACAGCTTCATTGAGGACACGCCCGTTCCAGATTCTTCAATCAGGCCACCGCTCCTGCCTATTTCGACTCTTACTAAAAGAGTCACTACACCTCTTCCCGCCACCAAGCACATACTGCCCCGCCTGGTTGACAATTCCCCCTCTGTCGCCGCGATGAAGAAGAGAAAGAGAGATCCTCCCATCAAAACTGTGCCTGAGGAGCAGCAGGTCTTTCGCGGGCTACGATTTTACTTCATTCCCAACGACGACATTGCGCCGGCAAGGAAGGTTCGTATCCGGAAGGCGCAAGAGTTCGGCGCGTCTTGGGTAAGATCGTTGAAAACTGCAAGTCACGTCATAGTTGACAGAAATCTAAACTGGAAAAGCATCGAGTCTATTGTTCGCCCGACGAATGGCGCAGCATCTTATCTGGTTCTCAACGAAGAGTATCCTTTGGACTGCCTGAAGTTCAAAACTCTACTCAATGCAAATCAGAAGCAGTATCGGGTTCCTGGGTCCCCAGAGCTATCTGCTGCCCCAGCCGAACCCCAGATCGGGTCCCAAGTTGGTCAACCATTAGCACCAACCTCGCAAGATTCGCCACTCGAGCCCCGTCAGGTAAATCCGAAGCAACGAGACTACGTACAGCCATCGACTCCACTCAGAAGCCTGAGATCCTCTGGAATGACAAAAGGAAAAGACGCGAATGCCACATCACCATCGGCCCTTAGAGACATCACAGAGATTGTGCTGCCATCAAGCATTCCTGGAGGCAGTAGCCAAAGCATCGATGACGACGACGACGATGATGATGAAATGCCTGCGACCATCGAGAAGCAGACACTTGGTCTCGAGGACGAACTCGAGGATGTCATTTCTCAGATGCAAGAGTTTAGGGATCTGCCTCTGGAACATGATGACGACGACATGGCAGTCTCGATGCAGTCACCGGACGAAGCTTTTGACGTTGAAGGCTCCGAAGATGAGCGGCTGAGAAAGAAGAAAGTGGCCACCCGGAGTCGGGGCCGCAAAGACATGGCGTGGGAAGACAAGTTCGCGTGCCACAGAGGGGGTACTAACGGAGGCGGCCAAACGAATCCGAACGGCCGTACAATTGAGATTTTGCAGCAAATGTGCAATTACTATGAGCGTGTCAACGATACCTGGCGACCCATTGCTTACAGAAAAGCCATTACGCAACTAAAGCGACAACCAAGCAAGATATCTACAGCCGAAGAGGCGATCCGGCTGCCTGGGGTGGGTCAACGATTGGCTGACAAGATTGAGGAAATCGTCACGACGAACCGGCTTCAACGGCTGGAGAGTGCGGAGCAAGAGCCAATGGACAAGGTTTTACAGATGTTTCTCAACATCTACGGCGTGGGCAGTGTACAAGCAAGCCATTTCGTCTCGCAGGGGTTCCGGACGCTAGAGGACCTAAAGGAGAAAGCGAAGCTCACCCCGAACCAGCGAATCGGCATCGATCACTATGACGACCTAAACACGCGCATCCCTCGCTCCGAGGTGAAGCTTCTAGGAGCAGTGGTCAGATCCGAGGCTGCGAAGCTAGACCCATCAGTTCAACTTATCATTGGAGGCAGTTATCGCCGCGGCGCCTTGGACAGCGGCGATGTTGATTTCATCATCACCAAGAAGGGGGCAAGAGCAACATCTGATCTTACACCATTCTTGCATAAGCTGGTAAAGACGCTCGAGACTCAGAACTTCCTCGTCGCGAGGCTTGCTGGATCCAGAGACGAGACCGATGGCAGCAAGTGGCACGGATGCTGCGTCTTGCCCAAGATCAGGGGCGTCAACGACGAGAACTATCGTCGTGTCTGGCGACGTGTGGACTTCCTCGTAGTCCCGGAGACCGAGATTGGCGCAGCGCTGATCTACTTCACGGGCAACGACATCTTCAACCGGAGCATCCGGCTGCTGGCATCGAAGAAGGGGATGCGGCTCAATCAGAAGGGTCTTTACAAAGATGTGATGAGGGGCCCTGGGCGCGTGAAGCTGACTGAGGGCGAGTTGGTCGAGGGACAGGATGAGAGAAGGATCTTTGAGATCTTGGGGGTCAAGTGGAGAGAGCCCCATGAGAGGTGGTGTTAAGAAAAGCCGAGAGATGTTGTTGTACTGGTACCTAGCATAGCGTGGCGTTGGATAAGCTCTTTTGTGTTGCTTTAGTGCTCCTCCCTGTTGACTACCTCCGAAGTTTCCAATTCAAGAAAGCTTGGCTTCCCTTCCATCCCTTTTTTGTGAAGCTCTTATGAAGCTCACCGGACCAACGTGGATTGCTCCTTTGAAACAGTTCCAACTGCCTAGTCAACGGCAAGGGAAAACGCAGAGTCCCTCAATTTAGTGCTCACACGATCCAGGGAGGCTAGTTTATACTGCAGGACCCCATGTCGGAGACCCAGTACGGCAAACCTGTGAGCGTAGTGTAGTGGCGTGCGACGGGCCGACAATAGGGGTCTGCCAGCTGTAGCTACCCCCAAAGTACAGAGAGAGAGAGAGAAAAAACTCCTTCCCATTGGGGAAAAAACTTACAGCTTGGGAAGGAACGTGTCTTGGTTCTGGAATAAAGTGGGATGTGGAAGCGGGGCGCTCCGGCCGGTACAGGGTGCAGGCGGTGACGAGCATTGAACGGCGCAATCAGGATTGATTTTTTTTATTTTATTTTTTTTGCCGTGTGCTGTCCCGCCGCCCCTCCTCTCCAGTCTCTGACAGGTCCCCAATTCTGCCGGGCCCGATCATGTCGAAAAGGTCCCCCAGTTTCCTGCACCCATAGCCCCGCCGACCCTTTTCCCTTTCTTCACCGCGCCGCCTTGACTTATCTGTGTTTTTTCTCCCTCCAGAAATTTCGTCCGTCCTTTTCTTCAACCTTGTGTTTTGGTTCTGTCTCTCGAAATCGATCCGCTACTACGTAAACCTTCCTTCCTCCTGCTTTCTTGTAACGCCGTCCACAACGCAGAGCTCGGCCGAAAAAAGTTTCGTCGCGAAGCAATAAATAAACTCAACATGGGCAACGACACGCATATGGAGGTTGACGCCGCCGAGCAGAAGCTCAAGGGCATGGAGCACTCTGAGCAGCATTACTTCAAGAGGTACGTTGGAGATCCCTCCCAGTTTATATGGAGGAAACTTCGCAGGAAGCAAGATCCGTTGCTAATGCTGCCGCGTCTAGTTATGACCACCATGGTAAGTGCCGTCTCGCGATCCGAATGAGTACAATAGAAGAATCTTGATGTCTAACCGGGTGAGATGTGAATCAGGTATCCACGAGGAGATGTTGGTATGTCGCCTCACCCCCTTGTGCGCACGCAGCTGTCTGCCCGCAACTGTCATCTCTGAATAGCCTTGCTAACCATGTCGTTCCGCAGAAAGACGAGGTCCGCACGCGCTCCTACATGAATGCTATCGTCCAGAACAAGCACCTGTTTAAGGACAAGGTCGTTCTCGACGTCGGCTGCGGCACCGCCATCCTTTCCATGTATGCAAACCACACACCCTGTATCAAATACAACAGAGAGAGCCAGTTGGACTGACCATGTTTGCTCTTGCGCAGGTTCGCTGTCAAGGCCGGTGCGAAGCACGTTATTGGTGTCGACATGTCCACCATCATCTTCAAGGCGCGTGAGATCGTCAAGGTGAACGGCATGTCCGACAAGATCACCCTGATTCAGGGCAAGATGGAGGAAGTCGAGCTTCCCTTCCCCAAGGTCGACATCATCATCTCTGAGTGGATGGGTTACTTCCTCCTTTACGAGTCCATGCTGGACACTGTCCTGTACGCTCGTGACCGCTACCTGAACCCCGACGGTCTCATTTTCCCTGACAAGGCCACCATCTTCATTGCTGGTATCGAGGACGGCGACTACAAGGACGAGAAGATTGGATGTTAGTTTTGATCGCCACCCCTGCTCCGGCACACCTGAACAGACGCTGACCTAACCCAATAGTCTGGGACAACGTGTACGGCTTCGACTATAGCCCGCTCAAGGCCACGGCCCTGTCCGAGCCTCTCGTCGACACGGTCGAGATCAAGGCTGTCGTTACTGACCCCACCGCCGTCCTGACCCTGGACCTCTACAAGTGCCAGGTGTCTGACCTTGCCTTCACCACCCCCTTCCGCCTGTCTGCCCGCCGTGATGACTTCATTCACGCCCTCGTCGCCTGGTTCGATATTGACTTCACTGCCGCTCACAAGCCCATCCGCTTCTCCACCGGCCCCCACACCAAGTACACCCACTGGAAGCAGACCGTCTTCTACCTTAAGGACATGCTCACCATGACCGCCGGCGAGGAGGTCGACGCAACCCTGCACGTTAAGCCCAATGATAGGAACCGCCGTGACCTCGACATCAAGATCGAGTACAAGTTCCTGACCGAGGACCCTACCCGTGCCGCCGAGGGCGTCTGCGAGTACAAGATGTGCTAAGCGCACCAATATCATGGACCCGGCATGTGCCCTCTCCCCTCTCCCGCCCCTTGGGCGGTTGACCTTGGAAGAGAGGCCAGTACCCAACCACAGCAAGGCTTCGCGAGAAGCGGAGTGTGTTTTACCCAAGGAAACGGACTTGTCCGTCAAATCACGATGGGGAAAACCGCCGAGATAATCCAGCTTCTGCTCCCCTCGGGGGACGAGCCTGCCTGCTATTTGTTTGCGCCCAAAAAGTTCAAGTTTTTTATTTTGTTAAAAAAGAAAGAGGAGAGGGAATCCAGCCTGGCTGCGTAACCTGCGCCGGCGAGGGGGCATGGCGCGGCCTCCTTCCCATTTTCGAGATATCCCCTCCTTTTTTTTGGTTTTTTGGCCTGTTCTGGTTTTAAACGATACAAGTCTTGCCGCTCATGAGCTTGCATGTCGTGACGGAGGAGAAGGAACGTGAGGGGAAGAGAAGAGCGGAAGACAAACGAGAGAGGGAGAAAGATGAAGACATAGAAACCAAAAGGCATAACGCAGTCTTCGACCTGCTACAATAGATCATGACTAATGAATCAGACATGAACCTCCCGAATATTTGCTTCTTCCGTGCCGTGAACCAGTTGGCCCGTAAGGGGGACGTCTCCGAACCTATGGTTTCTTATTATTCTATGTTGAGTCGTCTCTTCTCGTCTATCATCCTCGTCTCCTAAGGCCGTGAAATCTAGTCAGTCGTCTTGCCCACGTGCCGGTCTGAAGTAAACGCTATGCTATCTATACTCTCATTCACCCCGCCCTTCCCGCAGTACTTCTCCTACTGGTCCTCGTCTCGACTTGTTTTCCTTGGGCCCAAAAAGAAGAAAGAAAAAAAGAGGAAAAGCAGACAAGACCGACCCGCTCCTCTTCTCACCTTCTTTTTCTTCCCTATTGCCGCGTCCACGCGAACGTTGCCGCCCATGCTGATTGAAAATGCCCCACGCTTGTCTTTTCCTGCCCTGAACGCCAGTCCTTGCTAATGCTTTATATCTCGTGATGCAACGTAAAATAAGAGAATAGGCTGTAAAGGCCGCCTACTCCCCAAGCCCGCCGTCTTCCTCCCATACGCTTCGTCGTCTTCCCCCCGCTTTTGTACCTCGGTTCCAGTCGGGACCAAAAAGGAACTGTAATCGTTCAGGGTATATGTCAAACAACCGGCGCCCCTTTCTCCCTTGCCTCGTCCGCTCACATCTGCCCCGGCCCATGCGTCATCCAATCCTCAACCGTGTCCTTGCCCCGGAATACGACGCCGAGCATGACGGTGAACTCGTCCACCTCCCTCGGGTCCGCGAGCGCGAGCAAGCTCGAGAAGTCCATCCGGCTGACCCACCACGCCGTGTCCCCTTCGCGGGATCGGTTCCACCGCTCCGCCGTTGTGGCGGCCCACAACCGCGTCTGCGCAGTGAAGCACATGTCCGAGAGCCTTAGGGCGTGGTGGTGATGATGATGCGGGTGCGGGTGTCCTCCGCTGCCGCCGTGGTGTTGCCCGACACCTCCACCGCCACCACCTCCTGCTCCATTACCCCCGAGCTTGCCGTACCCCGCGCCCTGCTTCGCCGCGGCGTAGATGGCACGAACGAGGTGTGCCATGGTGAGCACGCGGCGGATTGATTCGGCCATCAGCCACCGCCGCCACGCGGCCTTGAGCTCCTCTTTCGTCGGTCGGCCGCCGCCGCCGCCGCCGCCGCCGCCTGGGGTGTTGGAGCGCGAGTTGTCCGGCGACATGTCGTGCTGCTGCGTGTAAGACGACGCCGACGATGAAGACTGCTGCGGCGGCGGGACGTGTGTCGCCGCTTCCGCGATGGTGGAGGGGGGTATCGCCTCCTCGACGAAGACAGCGGCGCCTACGCGGGACTGTAGGGCGGACGTCCACGCCGCGAGAATGGGCTCAGCCGAGTCGGCCAGCACGCGCTGACGGATGTCGCCGTCGAACCAGCGAATGATTTGGTACATGACCAACGCTTGCAGGGCGGCGACCTGTTGCGGAAGGGTCCAGGTCGCCTGCTCGGTCACGTAGAGCAGGGCCGTGGCCTTGGCCTCCACAACGCCGAGGACAAGCGCCGAGTTCTCTTCGTTCTTGGCCGCGTACGCCGCGCACGCACAGAAGCAGTCCTGGAGCACGGGGGGCAGGCCGTCGGCGCCGTTGGTGGTGGGTAGGTAGAGCGCCGGGTGGATAAAAGGGGCGACGCCGTTCTGGCTCACCCAGCGCCGCGGGAGGCACTTAAACTGCTCGTTGCAGTAGAGCACCGCATCTCTCGGGATCGATTCGCTGGTAGGAGGCGCTGCCATGACGGCGGGTGAGGGGGTCGGCACACCGGTGACGCCGGCGTTTCCGTAGAACAGGGACCACGAGGTCTCCGTCTCTGGCACGACGGGAACGGGCAGGATGTTGTGGAGGGAGTCGTTCGGGGTGCCCGCAGAGCCGTTGAGGACGTCGGTGAAGAAGTTGAAGTCGGCGGCAGCAACGGCGGCCTCGAGCGAAGGGTAGTTGCAGTCGTCCAACCCCTTCTGGGTGCACCGGCCGCATCGGGGCAGGCGCTGGTCGCATCGACGCTTCGCCTGCTGACACGCAGTGCAGGCGCGGCGCCGAGTCGATATGAGGGGTGACGAGGAGCTCGACGGGGCCGACATGTTGGTCGAGTCCGCAGCCCGATGGGCGGTTGGTAGCGTGATGCCTCTAAGGAGGTTTTAGGCTTGCTGGCTAGGGTGACGCCAAGGGGGGGTGGGAGTGTATGCGTTGGCCGTATGAAAGTCCGGGCTACAGTGTGATTGTGTGTATGTGTGTGCGTGTGTGTGTGTGTGTGTGTGTGACCGTATCGTCGGGATGCTCAAGCTTTGCAGACCAAACTACGCTCACAGCGGTAAAGGGGAATGAAACAGCGCGGGCAGTCCGCCCAAGATGTCCGCCCTCTTGCTTGGCCCGACTTTGCCACGGACGACACAAGCGTACAAAGGCCTTACCAGCTCCCCTATGGGAGTTTCTGGTGCCGTGTGGGCGGAGTAGTGACCACCGGTACGGAGCGGAAGTGGTTGCGGCTCTCCGCCTTGGGTGAGTGGAACTCCGCTGCGGGCAACGGCTTTCCGCGTTGCTGGGTTTTCCGAGGGGCGTGGCACAGTAGCGATCGGCCGTCTATTCTTTTCGGGTTGGGCGGTGCTCCGTAGTTGCCCGTTGGACATGATCAGGTAAACTCAATGTCTCCTGGGGCCGGCGCCGGCGCCTCGTCCTTTATATGGGTAGCAGGCTGCAACGTTTTCCCTCACGAGGTTTCGCCCATACGAGACACACACCAAGGGAGGGGGTGGATTGAGCTGGACGAACCGAGAAGACACGATCGTCGCCCGATCCAGTCCAGGTAACCAGTTGTTCAGAACGCTAGCACCAAGGGCCTGGTCTTGCTGGTTAGGTCATCCAGAGTCGCCCGTGAGTAAGCGTACACATAAGGAGTGACTGAAGATGGGACATGCCCTGGCTTGACGAGGCAGAAGAGAAACAATAAGTAACACATCGATAATGGCGGCCCGATACCGTTGTTTGTGTGCGGGACGAGTTGCCCTTGAATCAAGAGAGTGCCCACCCTGGCCAAGTGGGTGGCATTTGGGTGCTCGGTCTGGTGCTATGTCAGCTAACTACGGATACCGTGGTACCGTTACGCAAGATCTGGGGCGATGGAGACATGTGGATGAATTTGAGTTGTTCTGCATCGTTCCTCGTTGTCCCCGGTGTCACGCCTCTTCCCAAACAGGATCTCCCTATAGCCTCTACGGTCTAGAGACAAGACAGTGCGGAGTACTGTGCGTGGACTGTTTTCCTAAATGGGCAATTATTCATCCAGATAGTCCCTAACGATGCCCCAGATGCGTGCCGCTGTTCCGCTTTGCCTCATAACACCTCGTGACTGCTCACAGCTTATCGGCATAGACAAATGCTTAGAAGTAGACGCATCCATCACCACTTTCCTCCGACGCCAGTACCAAAATGGCAGCCCCAGTCTCTGGCACAGCGAACGGGAGGGCAGACCTCGTGTCTGCGGACGTGGGTGGATGTGCGGTCTGGCGCTCTCCCCGGGATTACACAATCAAGCCATTGCGTCACATAATCAGTCTGTCACCCTTCCTCAAGCATGCCGTAAGCACCCCGGAACCGTCTTACCACTTAGATACTCTCAGCCTTACGAAAGCATGATCTTGGAGATCATTAGGGGCCTCCTGCTTGTTCCCCCCACTCGGGGGACAAAAAAGACCGCTGGTTTTGAAGAACCTTATCTTATGGCGCTATTGCTTTTAGATACCAGAAAGTACGATGTAGGTAAGATGTATACTTTCATACACTTTATAGACTTTCTCGTCTTAGGAGTCCTCACAAATGTATATTTTTAGCATGTAAAAAGCTGCATTGCCTATTGCAGGAGCTGTAGTACTGGTGGTGAGGGTGGCTGTTGTGTAGGGGGAAACCGGCGGTCTTTTTTGTCCCCCGAGTGCCCCCGTCGGTTCATAGTGTCTTGCAGAAAGAACTGTGGAACTACCTGGCGTGCGATGACTGAATGGGAGAGAGGGGGAGGAGGGGGGGGCTCGACGGCTTGGTCCACTGCATCTCCTCAACCTGGAACCCTCGTCGCAGTGCCTCTCACTGTCCTCGCATCCTGCAAGCTGACGTCGTTGGCAGACCTGTCGGTGACCAAGCAACATCGCGTGGATACCATCGGCGACAACCAAGGCCGAATCGGTTCATGGCTTCACTGAACACGGGGGAATGTGGCATGGTTGAGGCTATTCGAGCTAGGACGAGTCTCGTTTCCCGGTCGCCAGCCGCCACTCTCGCTTTTCGACGCCGCGCGCGCTGCCAATCTCGTATTCCACCCTGGTGCCCAGGCAGGACGCTCCGCGAACAAGCAGTGCAGTGCTTGCACGAACAGGCAGCAGAATTAAAATCAAGAAATCTGCTGTCGGGTCTTCAGCAGTGTGCTGAGTGTGACTGCTGACTAACGCGCCTCTGGCCACCCGAATTCCAAATTCAACCTCAAAATGTCCCAGCAGCCATATCTAGGGGGCCCAAGTCCGATCTTGTCGAGACCTAGTTGGCTGGTTCGTAAAAAAAATGGCGGCGATTATGGCGCCATTGATCATCGTTAACCACTTGAAGGAACGAAACCCCCGCGATCATGTTACCGCTAGCCGCCCCTGCTTAGAGCCATGCAGTCCGAGTACCTGAGTTGCCGCAGTGGTATGAATTACTATGTTTAGAATAAAAGAACACTGTTTGTTTGTAGTGGTGGTCTCGACGTTGGATTTCAATCCCGCAACAAAGCTGCGCTGATCTCGTTCTGTTTAGGTCGACAACATTTTCAGCTAGATTTCGGGTTGTTGGTCTGCTTTCAGCTGTGGCCGGGGTTATTGCATCCCCCGGGTCCATCCTGCGACGCCTCTAAAAACTACCTGCGGCCAGCCTGGTTTTGCGAGAACCTCGGTTTATTCCGAAACTCTTTGCTCGAAGCCGGTCCAGTCCCTCTGTTCAAGTGGCATGCGTATCCGTGTACAGGGCATTCTTCTTCCGTGCGGACGGCCCGCGGGTACGGAAACCCTCGCACATGGGACCGTTCCATCCACAGAAAATCTAGAGTCCCAAGCACTTGGCTCTAAACACAAGAAAAGCTTTCCGGACACAGGGCGCCACCCGCAGAACTTGGGCCCGAAAGGTTGTTTGGCATCGCATAAACCATGAGCCCAAATCGACGGAGCTGTCGCTTTCAGAGTGGGGGCTTCCGGAGCACATCGGATCTTCAACCTCCTCGCACGGCTTGATCGAACTCCCAAGACTCGCAAGTTCTAGTAGCATGGCTTGAAAATCGAGGTAAAAGCTGACCTACCGCACTCAGCAGGTTCTCGGCCAATAACAGGCCGACAGAGACATGGAAATCAGCAGGCGACCACATACGCCTCCTCGATATTTGCTTGATGGCGTCCCCAGCCGCCGTACCGGGTAAGCCAGAAGCAGGCTCGGTCCGAGGCTTCGTCGAAAGCGATGACCCCCACATGCTGTGAGCGACAGCGTCTGAACCCCGTGGGTCGATCCAGGCCTGTGGCATGAAACAGGGACATTGTCGGACAGAGTCAATTCAGCACGCCTGGACGTCGGCCGTGTCGTCCGGAGTAATACGGACGGGTGCGAGATGAAGACTGCTTCTTCCGTGTCCAGTCCGAGCCCATTTCCTTTCATGCCTCGTATGCAGTGGTGCGTATTTAGGTTGGGAATCCGGGTCGCAATTTCAGACCATCTCCGGCATGGAGGGTCCAGTGAGGCAGTGCCTCCCACCTCAATATTGGCTGGCGAAACAGGCATGCATTGCATGTCATTTAACGGATTAGGTAGGCTTCGAGCTGCGCATTGTATCCAAAGCGGTAGCGTCCAGGATGCGCGCGACATCGAGACAAGCGTACAAAGTTGCCAAGATTGCGGTGGAAACAGTAGTCAATGGACGACGTTTCGAGGGTTATCTGGGGTTCATTTTGTCCCCCGCCACACCGGAAATGTAAGTTGGAGCGGGGAATATTAGTATCGCCTGATCTACCACTCGGCCTTCAGTAGGTAGCACGAAAGGAAAGAGGCCCGGTGATCTTCGACTGAAGAAAACATACCTATCCTTGACCAACCGTCGTGGGCACTGAGTAGCAGTATCCCCCTTGCTGTCAAGAACGCGATCTACAGGGCACTTTACCATTAATAAGTTGGTGTCCCTCGTCTGTGCAAAGTGGTGGTTTGGTGGATAGCCACCTAGGCAAGGGAGCGTTGGCCGCCTGCTTCTGCGGGGAAATTTGCCCAGGCAGAATAGTGAACCTAGTTGGGAGCATCTTTATGCTTTTCCATGTATATACGAATAGGGGAGACGGCAATACCGGTCGAAACGAAAATAGCGTGCGACTGAGTATCTTTCTCTGACCGGATTCACTCTCGACAGGGCCCTCATCGAATGGTCATTTGCGTGCCGCTGATACCTCTTGAAGCGCTGCTGGCCATCCTAGGTCCTTTTCAACCACGCCCCTTCCTCTTATGGGAGAATGGGAGGAAGCAAATAATTTGATTCCCTACTACGCAGTAGTCCAGATGTGTGACCCTGGTGACAGGCCGTTTTCCAAGTAGCTCCTTTTTGAACAGACGACCAATAACGAGATGGAAATCATAGCCGCTCGGGGAATGAGCCTTTCGGTCCGAAACCCTATTGCAGCATCGTATCGGCACATGCCATAGGGCTTTCTTTAACCATGATCTTCCACGGAACTGATACGGCAGCCACACGGCCAAAAATAATAACCAGGCCACTAGCACTTGCCATAGTTGCATTGCCTTGCATAGCAGCTTTGCGTAGACGGAACGGGTAGAAACAGCTTTTCTATTGCTTCACGGCCCGGATGGTAACGCCGGCACGTTGGGTGAGGGCCCACCAGGTGCACAGCCAAAGTGCTGGCGTCTCGCCTTGATGTCTCTAATTTCAAGAGGGGTGGGCGGGGCATGCTGAAAGTATATTTACCCAAGGTGTAATTGATGGAAAGCTTGCTAAGCCGCTGGTGCAGTTTAGGTCGGCTCAACTGTTTAAAAAGGTGGTTTGGGTGTGTCCGTAGACCACCTATTATACGATATAAGCTATCTGGAGCTGAAAGCGAGGTGTGGCACGTGTCCGGATAACCGGAGTATGTCTGTGTAGTCACATCAGGAAGTGTAAACTACTACTAGGTACTCTCTGAATGGATAGTTCACCTATCAACAGGGGTGGGGGCACAAGGCCAGAAACATCAATGTCTCTGTCACCATTAGTTTGGATTCCGTCGACAGTCCATGTCGGCTGCTCGAATCAAGCCACCTTGGTAACTCGCGGGTCGCCCGCAATGGACCAAACCTGAGAGCTTTCTAGATGCAGTGATGTATAAAGGGAGCCATCCGCAAGGTAGGTATGCTCTCGAGTTATGGTGTGAGGACAAAGTGATTGTACAGGTGGGGCTCAATCAAGACAATGATACGACATGTGAGAAGGAAACATCCCAATGAATAAGACACGGTAGGCAGTCATTTGCATGGTACACCGGCTACCCGAAAACTGTTACAGGAAGAAGGAAGGAAGCAAGCAAGCAAGAAAAGAAGAAGGTTCTCACAGGAACAGCGAGGTACGCGGCCTTGTGGTCGAAAGATGACAGACGCCCTGAGTAACCTGACAAGGACATGCAGAGGGGAGGCAAGGCGAGCAGAAGCCCCGATGTGGTGTTGTGTGGGTGGCAGAGCCTCGTCTGGCCCGGAAGGGTGGGCTTGGGTTTGTGCGTGCGTGTGTATGTGCGGGCGTGTATGCGCGCGCGTGTGTGGGGGATACCACAGGAACTGGAAGGTGGAAAAGGGCAGCGGCAAGATCGGTACGTATTTATTTACCCGCCTGATTGGGCGGGACTTGTGGCAGGAGGTTAAGATTGCGCCTGTTTAAATCTGTCGAAAAACGGTTGTCTCACCCCTGCCGCCGGTCAGGGGCGGGGAGGAAGGGGGCGCTATGCGACTAGAGCAAGGTACAATCGACCGACCGTGCCCCTTGTTCTTTGTCCCCCACCCATCCACGTTGGAATACAATCCGGCAACCAATGACTCTCATTGGAGGAGGCCTCTGTTTCTCAGGATGCCTTCGTACTACTTTACCTTCCACCTACCTAAGCATACCTAGCAGTGCCTCCCTACCTTATCTCACTGCGGCGGGTAGAAGGTTCATTTGCTACCTAGGTAGGGAGGCAATCCCGGATCTCCTTGAGTTGCCATTTGGGGGTTGTCATGCCAAGGAGTGACCAGGTGGTCAGAGTCCTTCGTCCGGACGCCACGCACATAGCGAGCGTCCTACCTATAGCGGGAATGTTATCCGTACAGATGAGAACTCAATCCATCCAGCGCATCGCCAACTTGCCTCAAGCTTTTCCTCCAGATCGGCTCTCGGTCCATCGACAACGAGACGCGAGTCTCGACCCCCGGCGCACATGTCGTGTCGTATCAAGGGTGTCAGGCACAGCTCCAACGTGAGTGGCTCCCAGGGGTTGCTTAGGGGAACCACCACTAAGCGCCCAAAAGGGAAACGGCCCCAAATCAGAAGCGCTACACTGCAACCATTGCCTCCACTCCTCCTTCTCCAGGGGGACCTTGAGCATGGCCCCTTTCAGGCCAGTCGCCGTCTGCAATCCCACTTTGATCAATCGCTTCCCAAAATCCTCCAAACGCTGGCTCATTTTCCTCTTTTTTTTTGCCCTCCCATTTCCTTCTAAATGGACCGTCATCTTGGAGTCTTGAATTGCACCTTGGTTCTGCTGTCACTTTGGTGAGACATTCCTGACCCAGATCCGCATGATTAGAGACAGCCACCGCCGCCCAGATCCCGTCTTTAACCATGGCCGCCCGCGACCCTCGTCCACCTCATCTCAACCTCCATCACCCACCGGAAGCCCCCGAGGACCCTCCATGTTCTTCTGAGACTCCTAACGCTTCATCTGATGTACTCCGGGGCCGTTCGCCCATCCGCAATTCCCACCGCCCTGCAGCCTCCCCTTCGCCCTCGCCTGGACATAGCAGATCGCAGACCTTGCCCGTGGTAACGCCTACCTTCAACACCACCAAGGCAATCAAGCGAAAGCCTCTCTCCTCCACCGCCTCCCAGTTGGCCGCCAGCTACGGCTCCGGCCCGACAACTCCCTCTATTCTGTCGCCTTCCGACTTTGCTGCACCCGACACGCGCTTCTCGAGGTCCTACTCTGTCGACAGCCCGACTCTCTACGAGTACCCCGAGAACAGCGTCCGCCCTCTGTTCGCGCCACCAGCTGCGCATCAGAAAAACAACTCCCAGTGAGTCCCAACATTGCCCGACATCTGTCATGCGAGATCCCGCCTTGCAGTAAGGCTACTCCATAGAGGGTAATGCTAACCTGTCATTCTTCTTCTCACAAGCAGACCCACGCCCGCGGGTGCCGTGCACGACGCGGCCTCTTCCTCACGAAACAGACCAAGCACCAACCTGGTCTTCCCTCAAACAGGACCTTCAGACGGCCTGTTGGAATCTGCCTGCTGGCCTGCCGACGTCACCCCAACCTTCTCCCCTAGGTTACCGAAACCGCCACCTGAGCCCATCATTGAGGAGGACACAGACTCTGACTCCGACTCGACTTACAGTCACAACACTAATGAGAACTCTATCATGTCCATACCCACCTCCAAACCTACTCCTCCTCATCTGAACCTCAACGGCCATCGAGACGAATCACCTCAAACCACCACTACCGTATTGGAAGCCAGTCAGGCCGTTTCGCCGAGTACATCAACACAAACGCCCTCCCTCGATAAGCCTCTGCCTAAGTCACCGGGCTCTTCCAAGATAGCCAACTTCTTCTCCTGGGGATCTTCGCCGTCGCCTTCGACGACAGAGTTCTCCTCTCTCTCTTCACCCCTAGGATCACCACGACGCATCACGCTGACAGATGACACCCCTCTCACGACCGGAGTACCGTCATTGCAGCCGGAACCGAGAAAAGGGAATGCTACACCTACAAACGCTCTTGGATATTGCGAATCAAACCTGTACACGCCACCGCCTTCCTCCCTAGCCCCATCACTCCAAATCGAAGAGATGGAGGACGAGCTCAAGGCCATCAGCTCCGAGCTGGCCTCGTCCATTCGTCGTGAAATGGACCTGGAGGACCTTGTCGACAGACTACAGTCCGAGATCAACAACCCCCAAGCGTCCGGCAGGAGAACCAGTGACTACTTTTCCGACTCGGGCTACAGCTCTACCAAGTTCAGCGAGTACGACCAGAACAAAGAAGAGATTGAGAAGATTCAGCGCCGTGCCGAGCAAGAGAAGGCCTCCATGCGCCTGGAGTTGACCAACAAGCTCCAAGAGGAACGATCACGGAGAGCTGAGCTTGATCAGCAAATCAGGGAGCTGGCTGAGAAAGCTTCCCAAGTCGACGTGGCGCAGATCAATAGTGACGACGCCAACAGCCGCCTCCGAGACCTAGAACATACTTGCGAAGATCTACGACGGAGGCTGGGCGAGGAAGTCCAGGTCAGGTCCAATTTCGAAGACCTGCTGTCCGTCCTCAAGGTCGAGCTCCAAAGCGCTACCAATGAGCGCGACAACCTCCGCGATGAAATCGTGCCGCAACTCAAGGCAAAGCTTGATGGGCTCGAGGCCGAGGCTTCCGAGTACGTCAACCTCACTTACGAGTCGTCCAAGATGCAGCAGGAGTTGGAAGTCCTCAGGCAAGAAAACCAAGCGCTCAAGGCTTCAGGACAACAGCCTCAGCCAGAGACCCGTCCCCGAAGCTCCACTTCCCGTCTCGCTCGATCCAGCTCCGTCACCGCTGCGCCCTTTGTCCTGCAGAAGGCTCCCACAGGGCTCGGGCTGACCAGGTCTAACACTGTCAAGTCTGGCGTGACTGAGTCGCGTGAGCAATTGTCGGAGCGCCTAAAGGATGTCGAGGCACAGAGAGATGCCCTGCATAATGCGTTGAAGAGCCTGCTCGAGAGGCAGGAGTTCCAAAACCGAGAGAACGAGAAGAAGATCACGGCTCTAGAGGTGGAGCGTGAGCGGCTGATGTCGGCCTCCCCGCGCAAGGCCGGCTTCGAAAGAGAAATATCCAGCTTGCGTGTGGAGATCAATGTGCTCCGTCGACGCGCCGATGAGGCGGCCGAACAGAAGTGGCAGGTGGAGAAGGGTCTTGCCGGTCTTAAGATGGACCTCGACCGTGCCGAGGGAGAAGTCGCCGCCCTTCGTGATCTGCTGAAGGAGAAGGATATCCTCATTCCCCCGTCAATGGCACGATCGAGTACGTACGAGCCAGCCTCAACAGTGCCCGTCACTTCAGAATCCCTCGAAGGCGCCTTCAAGGATCTCCAACTTGCTTACAAAGACTCTCTGCTCAAGATCAAGGAGTTGGAAAGTCGCGGTGCCGTACTTACCGGAGATGAGGCCACTCAGCTGGCCCTCCAGCGGCTTGAGCAATCTCTCACGACTGCCGTCTATGAACGTGATGCAGCGAGAGAGGAGGCTTCGGCTTACAAGGACCAACTGGAAAGTCTTGCCGGCAGTGAGGTCGCTCACCTGGAAAGCGAGCGTGCGCTTGCCGACGAACTCCGCATTTCTGCCCAGCGCGTCGAGGAACTCGCCTCGCAGGTTCAGAAACAGCTCTCCGTGAACTCGGAACTTCGCCAACGTCTCGCGGACGCCATTGCTCGCGGGGACGCCGACCGCAAAGCAAACGCCGACCGCATCACTCGGTTGCAGAGCCGCCTCAAGCACCTGGAAGAGCAGCTTCAATCTGCCCAGATCGCCTCCGAGGAGCGTGTCGCTCGGCACGAGGAGCAGCTGAGGGAGCTGAAGGACGCCCAGAGCGCTCAACTCGTTCGGATGAGCCCGTCCCCCATCGGCGGCAGCTTCCGCTCTCCGCGCAAGCCCAGTTTAAGCCCCATGCCCTCACCCATGTTCCCTCGATCGCCGCGCTCCATGCCGAAGCAGTCTGTTGAGGACGACATCCAGATCGACATGTTGCGCGCTAAAGTCGTCGAGCTGGAGACGGCGCTCACGAACGCCGACTCGGAAATGCAGGACGTCGTTGCCCGCATGAGTACGGCGCAAATCGAAGTCTTGACCTTGCAGGAGGAGCGTGAGGCCGCAAGGCGGGAGACCAGACGTCTCCAGCAGGAGCTGGAGAATGAGAGAATGAAGTCCTTCGAGGATCGCTTCAAGTCGCTTGGCGGCACTAATCAGTGATTTAAAGAGCGACCGTTTTGGCTCGAATAGGGGCGCTTGCACTAAGACATAACGCAACCTCATATACCCCGTCATCAGCATGCGGCGCGCCTTGTTTCAAGATGAGCACTGGGGCCAGGTCACATCCTTGACAACCAACGTCCACGCTTCACTTGGAGTCACACCATCGGGATTCTGTCATTCAAATCCACCAGGAAGGTGGCGGTGCTGGTTCATTGCACTGGCAAGCCATGCGTTGGGAAACCAAAGGGCGCATGCCATCACTGTTTCTGATTTCTATTAATGTTTTTTTCTTTCTTTTTGGGTATCGGAGTATTTCTGCCACTTTTGGGATAAGGCAGCGTGCCCGGATCCCCACAGATCGGCTTTTGTGGTGTTACAAACAGCACCTTGGACGGCCGGAAAAACTACCTACAGCACATGATTTTCTGTCTTCTGCTAGTCTGCAGACTCTTATACCTCTTTATATATACTTAGTGGGCGGGCAAACACTGAAGGTGTTTGCATAATGTGTTATCTAGTTGTTATTCGCCCCCTCGCCGCTATCCTCAGAACTTCCTGTTGTAGGAAGTTCATAGGACGAGTTGTAGGGGACGTGAGTTGTACAAATAAGAAGCATGCACGGTAAAGGGGGCATATGTGCAGGAGAAAAGGCGATGGAAGAAAAGGCAAAGATATGGGATCTGGCCAAGTTGTCAAGGTTCGACTCGGGGTGGGCAAGCGTCGGATGAGGAGGACCAAAGGGAAGATGTGTATGTTAGAAGAATTGATGACTTGAACCACACTTGGAGAAAAACTACGATACCCACCCAGTATTGACTGGTTTTGTGTTCAACTAGGCTACTTCTTGGATTCGTCGAGGCGTCACGGGCCCGCCGCGCCCCAAACGGCGGGCCGCGAGAATCACTTTTGGACCGCCGCGGGGAGGAGGGGTCTGCTAGGATGGAGGGCTGGTCCTGACCAGCCGTTCGCATGACTGTCAAAATTTGCACTGGCCTCCACGGCACAGCAATGTGGGACCTTGAATAGGCGCAGTTATTCTTTCCCTGAGTATAGCCATGGGTACGGACGGATAAAGAGAAACTCTTGCCTCTGCCAATCTTCTTCAAGGTTCAGTGCAGTGCGCTGCGCACCTTGTCACCGAGGGGAACGGTTATGGATATCAAATGTCTCGTGTCTTGTTCATCTCGTAATTCGGTGGGCAAGTCCCCCTCCTTGCAACAACCAAATCCGCTCTAGCTTTTAAAACAACGCCGTAATTTTCGTGTCGCGACTCCCGGTGAGACGACTCACCCGTCACTCTTCATCGTCCAAGCCAAGTGTTGCACTGTTATTCTTTGGGTTCCAGCTGTGACTCGGCCTTACAATCCACCGTACCGCTTCACGATCCCTGCAACCTTGTTCGCAAGCTCATCAGCCTCGGAACGGGTGGCTGCCTCGGCGTACACGCGGCACGCGTTCTCTGTACCACTGGCCCGAGCAAACGAACGAGCACTGGTGTACTTCCTAACACACTGGTCGATCTCGTCCTGGGCACCTTCAGGGTGGCTGAGGCGGCGTTCGGCGTCAGTTGTCTGAAAAGCGTCCTTGTTGCCAACCTCAACGCGAACAAGGCGGTTGGGGAGGTCCGAGTATGTCGAGGCCCAGTCCTTGAGAGTCCAGCCCTTGTGGGCGAGGATCACCTCGACCATCAACATGTCCGACAGGGCATCGCCGACCGTCTGGTTGACGAGGTTGCCAACTGCGGCAAGAGTCTCGAGGGCGTCCTTCTGGGCAGGGGACTGGGGCTTCGTCTCGCGGAAAGCACGCATGGCGTCCTGGCTGAATAGGACGGTGCCGTGGCCGTTGGCCTCGAAATAGGGGCCGATGTCGAACTTGAGGGCGGCGTGGTGCAAGTGCTTGACGCCGGTAGGCGTGCACACAACGGGCAATCCGAGGTGCTTCTCAATGTAGTTGGTGCTTGCACCGTTAGCATAGGCTGTCTGAACAACGCCGATACGGAGGTCATTCTCGAGGCCAGCGGAACGGACGAGGTCACCGATAAAGGAAGCAGCCAATGTGGATATCCGGTCGCCGTCCAGCATGAAGAAGCCGGTATCCGGGTCGGTGTAGTAGTAGATCAGGCGGTCGGCATCCCCGTCAAAAGAACAATAGCGGGCGCCAGGAATGGGCTTGGGAGAAGCAGGGGCACGCTGCTTAGTCTTGACGAAGTCTGCTCCGCACTAGTAACTGTCAGCTCGAGCAATCGACACGGCTGTGATGTAATAAAACTTACGTCGAGGTTGAGGACCTCGGGGCGAAGGACGTCGTCGTTGACGACCTTGACGTCGAAGCCGGTCACGTCCTTGGGGACGTGCTTCAGGAACTCGGTGAGCTTGGGGCCACCGACGCCGTTGGAGCAGTCGACGGTCAATTGGCCTTCGATTTTGCGACCCTTGAGAGCCTTGACGAAGGCATCGGCAAACTTCTCGTAATAGCCCGTTTCGCTGACCTTGCCGTATGACTGGGGGGTGCCCTCGGTGTTGATGCATCGGGTAAGGTAGTGCAGCTGGGGAGTGGTGAGGATCTTGTAATCGACGTACTCGACACCGGTGGCCTCGAAGGAGTCGGCAAGAGCTGCAACGAGCTTGTGGCCCGAAGGACGGGTGTCTCGACCGTAAATGACGCGGGCGGGGGCCGAGAGATCGATGCGGAGCTGGGAGGCCAAAGCCTTGTAGTTGTCAACGAGCTCCTGGTCCGAGGAGCTGTTGACAAGCTTCGTAGCGTACGACTCCCACTCCTGCTCGAGCATGTCACCCATGGGGTCGACAATCTTGACGCCATTGTCGACAGCGGGGTTGTGGCTAGCCGTGATCATAACACCAATGGCCTGGCCACCGAGCTTGCGACTACGCAGGCCGGAGAGCAGACCGACACGGAAAGTGACACCGTCGAGGAGATCGGCCTTCATCCGAAACCCCGCAGTGCCATACTTGAAGATGTGATTCGGCACGATGGGGTGCTTCTGGGAAGCGGCGATGATCTTCTCGTCCGACATGGCGGGCGTTAGTATAAAAGACGAGTTTGGGATGCGGGTGTTCGTAGACAGAGGCACAAAAGAGTTCGGAAGGGGGGTTTTACGAGCTAGAGCGATTGACGGGGCGGAAGTTAGAGAAGGAGGAAGAAGCAGATCTGGGGATGTTTACGAGAAAACAGTGGAGAGGAAATGGCGGGCGGCAGTTGGCTTGCTGGACGGGCGTGGAGGCCGCCATTCCTGTGTCCTCCTTTTTCTTATTCCTCCACTCACTCACCTTACCTCCTAGCTCCCCAGTGTTAATTATCACCTGGTGCAAAAATAGCAGCAGTAGCGTTAGTAGTGATAGCAGCAGCAGTAGCAGCAACCAACCTCAACACGGCGGGCCCCGCCAGCTGACACTGGCCGTGATGCAATCCTGCAAGTCAGATGGATGCAGGGCACCTCACCGCAAGTGGAAAGAGGAGGGTGGGGGCGCAGTCCCGGAAAGCCCCTCCACACCAACACAGCCGAGTTGAGCGCACCTGCTGAGGGGGGGGGGCATCCAGCAGCTAAATTAGCGCTCTCAGAACACTCCATGGCTCGCACGCTTCCCTAGACAAGAGTCACGTGGTTTCGTGATTGGACTCGAAGCCCAGGCCAAAAGTCGCTTTGTGCGTCCTGCGCGTCTCGTTGCCTCCTTCCTTTCGACTCCTAGCCTTTTCTCCGATCCTGATTCTTGGCCCCAGTCCTGCGCCGAGAGCCAACGCGTTGATCGATGGCTGTTTCAACGTCGTTTTCAGCTCAACATCCGCGCCTCGAATTCCTTCGCAAAAATGCTATTTTCAGCACGCCACTCTTGGTGATGACTTTGAAGACTCAGCCAAGAATACCTGCATCACGTCAGCACAATGGCTGGCGAACATGAGCAATACGCAAACCCCTTGCTTCTTGACTGGGTCAAAGAGTGGCTCGACACCGCGAGGGAGCGTAACATGAAAAGCGCCTCTACCTACAGAAACGCCTACGAGTCTCTCAAAGCATGCCCCATCACCTTCAAGCACCCGCGCCAGCTCACTCAGCTCAAAGGTTTTGGAGACAAGCTCTCCTCTCGCCTCACAGATAAGCTGAAGGAACACTGCGAGGCCAACGGTCTGCCTATGCCTACGAATCCGCGCTTATCCAAGGAAAGTCGCCAACTCCTCGGTGGGGCCGCTGAAGATGACGAACCCCCACCTCCTAAGAAGACGCGGAAAGCAAAGCCCTATGTTCCGACCTATCGATCCGGCCCCTATGCCCTTCTGCTGGCTCTATCGGCATTGGACGAGGAGGCGCAACTGGGAATGACAAAGGCCAATCTCATCGAGCTAGCACAGGAACACTGTGACTCGTCATTCAGTGCGCCTAGTGACCCCACCAAGTTCTATACGGCCTGGAACTCGATGAAGACTCTCATAGATAAAGATCTCGTCTGCGAGAAGGGCCGCCCACAGAGGCGTTATTCGCTTACGGAAGAAGGGTGGGAGGTTGCCAGGCGCATCAAGAAGACAACAGAATCGAGCTCAAGGGCCGATGCCTCCGTGGCAGGCCCCAGCACCCGTCCTGAGCTTGAAACGAGACCGGATGCGGCCACAGCAGCATTGGGAAGAAGCGCTTCATTGTCAGTCGAGCCCGTGGAACAGGCAAAGCCCAAGTCGGTATACGAAGGCGTCGTCGCAAATGGCCCAACAGTCTCGGATGATGCTTCGTTGCCAACATTCACTCCAATACGGCTTGCGCCGGGGTCGTTCACAGTCCATCTCGCGTTGGATATCCGCGAAGTTCGAGCGGTAAAAGACCGCGATTACATGCAAGATGAACTCACCAAAAAGGGGGTCAAACCCCTCATGCGGGCGTTGGAAATCGGCGACGCGCAGTGGATCGCCAAATGCCACGATTCCACCGCCCTGTCCCGTCATGGTGCAGAAGGAGACGAAGTCGTCCTGGACTGGATCGTCGAGCGAAAACGACTTGACGACTTGGTCAGCAGTATCAAGGATGGTCGTTTTCACGAGCAGAAGTTCCGGCTTCGCAAATCCGGCGTCAAACACGTTGTGTACATCGTTGAAGAGATTTCGATGGACTCGGGCTACTACTCCAAGATCGAGGAGATGATCCAGTCGGCCACCGCTTCCACTCAAGTAGTTAACGGCTACTTCCTGAAGAAGACCCAGAAAATGGACGACACAATCCGGTACCTCGCGCGCATGACGTTTATGCTCAAGAAGATGTATGAAAACAAGCCTCTTCACGTTATCCCGACGCCGGCTCTGACGGCGCAGAACTATCTGCCGCTGTTGGAACACCTGCGAGAAAAAGAGCCGTTGACGGGCTACTACATCACCTATCCGGCGTTCGCATCGTTGGCGTCCAAGTCGGACATGATGACGTTGCGAGACGTTTTTCTCAAGATGCTCATGACAACGAGGGGTATAACAGGAGAGAAGGCATTGGAGATTCAGAAGCGGTGGAAGACACCACATGACTTTATCAAAGCATACCAAGAGTGCGGCTCGGGTGAGCAGGGGCTCAAGAGGAAACGAGAGATGGTTATCAATGGCTTGCCTAACCTCGTGGGTCGCAAGAAGATTGCCAAGGCCGTCAGTCAGCGACTGGCGGAAGTCTGGGGCGATGCTTGAGCATGAGATATCCGGATGGCGTGGGACATGTCATACCAACAACGCAGATTAGGATAAACCGACTTTATAGCAAACTTGAGATGCAAAACCAAAAGGTGTGATGGGGCAAAGAGAACAAAGAAATCCCCAGAGCGCTACGAAGACTTTCCGGCCAACCCCTGAGCGACGATGCGCTCCACCATTTTCTCCAGCGGAGCACTGCCCGCGCCGCCGAGATAGCTCGTCAGGCTCTTCTCGGCGTACTTGGCCATCATGTCGACCTCGACATTGACCGTGTCGCCGGGCTTCTTCCCCGCGACGACCACCTTCTCCTGGGTGTAGCTGATGAGCATGACCTCCCACCAGCCCTCGTCGTCGTTGACCTGGGTGACGGTGAGACTGGTGCCGTCAAGGGCGACGTAGCCCTTGTAGACGACGTAGCGTAAAACGGCTTTGTCGCGCGGCGCGAAGCGGAAGGTCAGCGCGTTGCCGTCGGGCGTGACGGCGAGGATGGCGGCGGTGGTGTCGACGTGGCCCTGGACAAAGTGCCCGCCCATGCGGGTGTCGGCACGGACGGCGCGCTCGAGGTTAACGCGGGAGCCCTGGGACAGGGAGCCCAGATTGGTGATGCGAAGGGTCTCCGGGGCGACGCCTACGCGGAAGGACGGCGGGGAGGTCTCGAAGTGGGTGACGGTGAGGCAGACGCCGTTGATGGCGATGGAGTCGCCGAGGTGGCAGTCCGAGAGGAGCGTGGAGGACTCGGGCAGAGTGATTGTGAGGGAGGTGCCGCCGGTCTCATCGTTGGGGTTGAGTTCGGAAACGACTAGGGAATGTGTTAGTTGAGTGGCGATGGCGAGGTGAGTCAGGGGGGGGGCTGATGGGGCATCGGACCTCCAATGTCTTCGACGATGCCTGTGAACATGGCTGTCTTTTGTGTCTTGCCTGGCTAAGGGTATGGTGTTTATTTCCTCAATTATATTGGAGCTGTAAAGATCAAGATCTGGAGGATGGGCGGCCGAGTGAGAGAGTGAGTGAGTGGGATGAGAGGTCGTCCAGGCCCTTCGGAAGCTATAGGTACCAGATCGGTGACCCCTCCAAAAAATTAACCCCTCTCCCCACTTTCTGCAACGAACAGATGGCCGACGCCCACTAACAAGAAACAGTAACATTCCAGCCGTGCACCGCCTTGTTGCCCGTGGAATTCGCAATTCCCCTGCCACATTTGCTCTGTCCGAGCATCGCGGTGCCTTTCCCCCGCTGTGGACTGGTTCCTTCGTTCGTTCCTGGCAGTCACCTCGCGCTGGCGTCTATCCTTCCAGGGCATTCGAAATGGCTTAGCACGGTTTAGTCAGCATGTTTGGCCGCTGTCGATAGCGCTTCAGGGATCGGTTGGGGTGGGGGGGGGGGAGGGGATATATGTAAGCATCATCACATCAGACAACGGACTCGGAAGGAATATGGTTGATGGGACCTTTTCCCTCTTGCACGATGCGCGTAATCTCAAGTCTTCCTCGGAACCTCGGAATTACGGGCGTATTACTTGTGATCCAAGAGGCTCGTGTTCATGTGCCGTTCGAGTTCGTTATGCCTGCCAACGCTTGTTGGCAGGCCCAAGACATCCCCCGTTGAAGTCAACGTTTGTTCACCCGGTGATATGGTTGGTTTGCCGCCAACGTTTTCGCCAATGGTATAATTTCTGATAAGGCCTCGGCTCGCTATAAGTGTACCCTACTGACATGGTCCAGTCATGACCTTGGACATCGCGGTTATGTCTCTCTTTGCTGCGGATGCCGAGGCAAACAAAGTGTTCAAAGTTGAACAGCGGCGCGAACAGTCCATAACGTGTAGAACTGAAGGACGGGATGGGCAAAGAGCAATGACAAGGCTAGGATGAGTGCAAGATTACATGGCGTAGGAGCTATTGTTCCCATGTAAAAAAATGATGGTTTCGAGTAAACGAACCAGCACGAGGTCAACCTTATACTCGCCGTAGACGTCTCCAAGTTTAGCAACAACCTGCCATCGGCTGACTGTCGCCAGCCTGAAAGCTAACTAGGCACTTTCCAAGGTCTCTCAAATGGAACGGAGATGTGCTTTTGACAACGGCCTCAATAAGCTGACGGCCCAGTCGGTGCTTCGAGAATGCGTTCGGGGCTTGCTTGTCGCGCTCTGGGCCCAAGATGCTCTGCGTATCTCGATGGACTTGGGTGGGTATCTCTACGGAATGAACGCTTCTTCGGTGCCACGGTAGAGCTATCCGAGTTGAACTGATCCGTCCTAAAGTGGTAGTGAATACCCCGTCCGGAAGTGTGGAATAGGCACCTGTTGTTTCGGGCCGCCCGCTCTCTGTGTAGACTACCCGTGAAGCCGGGGGCGTGGATTCTGAGATGTTGTCCAACGCAGACACGCCATGGCGTAAGTAGGCGGCACGGTTGTTGACTCACAATATGCATACCAGGCCGTTGAATGCCAGCTAAGTCTTTGCGTCCTGTGTACAGGGACATGGGTTTCAAACACTTTAACAACCAATCCACTTGGCGTGTCAGCTTTTGAGAACGGCACGTTGAAGCCATGCAGGCCGTGAATCGGTTCGCACGTGGCTCACGCGGACAAGACGCCGGAAGCAACGTTCCACGATACTTGTAGCCCATGGGTCGTTGCTTCTCCCAGCAGAGTCCTCCACCTTGCGTTTCTTGCTCAACACATTCAGACCTTGTAAATGATGCCTGCCGGCACACAAAGGCCAAGACTACGGTACCACGGGGTGCGCCCCCCCCCGGGCGAGCATGTAGTCGCCGACCAACCGGATCGTTGCGCATGGCCGTGAATACCGCCTCCGCGCCGACTATCCCTCTCCCCTCCTTTTGCCCATAGCTACATGTGAGCTGCAGATAAGGTTTCCCCATGCCCTTTAGGCCCCTGAGTGGCAGATACCTCCTGCTTGCACTGTGTATGTGTTTGTGAGTGTGTACGTGCCGGCGAGAGCGAAGAGCTTACGATTCTACTGTCGGCCTCTCGGTAACAAGCGCATCCCAGGCAGCTATTGATATTTCTTGCTAATACGTTTACAAGGTCATGATGCAGCATCAACTCACTCTAGATTGAACCCTCGTCTTGGATATGTCCGGCTTCCGGTCCACGAGTTAACGCGAGGAATGGCGAGATCTCGATATAGGAGTAGAATCCACCCAAAGAGGAATGTGGAGGATAGATAATGACAATCGTAATATAATATAAATTCAGGCGGTTACGCCATGCTTGTGGTATCTTCCATTCATTCAAAAGAGGAGACAACCTCGTGGTCTCATGTAAGGCAGCCCGCCTTCACCCTGATTAAAAACTATAAACCCATTTTTGGTACTCCATGATGCAAAACTTCCGTGCAATCCATCCTTTAGGCCCGCTTCTCATCCACATCCGTCCTCGCTTCAATGACGGGGCTGGGCTGGATCTGGTCACCCGCCTCCTTCTCCCTTGCAGACGACGACGAAGACGCTTCGGCGGCGTCGGTCATGACGCCGTTGGAGCTCTTGCCCTTGTACTGGTCCTTGAAGTAGCCGTGCATCGCCTCAGAGAACATGTCCGGGTCCTCCCATACCTCGGGCTCCTTCTCGCCCTGCATCGCCTGCCTCTCCTCCCACTCCTTGCGCATGTCCTCGATCTGCGCCTTGTGGTCCTTCTCGGCGTCGTAGTATTTTCCGACGCCGCGGAGACGCTCCCAGACGCTGAGATGGGTGGGGTGTACGGCGACGCCGTGGTACTCGGCCTCCTTGCCATTGCGGATGTAGGTCCAGCGGCGCTCTTGCTCCTTGAGGTCCAGGCCAGTGGTGTCGGGCAGGAAGAGCCAGGTGAGGAGCATTCCGGCAAGACCGAACCACGGAACGACGTAGAACTTGGTCTGGGTGTCGATGTAATTGTACAGGACGGAGGCGAGGAGGGCACCGGCCTTTCCAATACAAGCGGAAAATCCATGGGCTGTGGCGCGGATGGGGGTTGGGAAAACCTCGCCGGCGACGAGGAAGGTGACCGAGTTGGGGCCGAACTGGTTAAAGAAGGAGCTGAGGAAGTACATGGCCTGGAAAGCGTGGACGCCGGCGGGACTGACGTAGTAGTCGAAGTTGAAGGCCGGGATGACGAACATGATGAAGCACATCAGAAAACCAACCTGCTGCATCATCTTGCGGCCGTAGAGCTTGTTGTCGATGAGCATGGAGGCGAGGTAGTAGCCGCAAAGGGAGACAACGACGTTGATCAGACTCCAGGTCCACTTGGTCAGGAGGGAGTCGGGGTTGCTGGAGATGATGGAGATGAACTGGCCCTGGAAAAGCTTGTTGCCGTAGAAGAAGACGTCGTTGCAGAACCAGGTGCCGGCGGTGGCGAGGAGACGGCCGCCAAAGTGCTGGCAGCAGTACTTGAGAGCGTTGATGTCGTAGCCTGTGACGCCCTGCTTCTTCTTGGCAAGGGCGAGCTGCTGGTTCGCGCGCGGCATCTTCCAGATACGGTAGTAGACGAGCCACAGGGTGCCAATGGCGGGCAGAGCGAACGAGATGCGGAAGGTGTACTGGGCGGCGGCGACGGAGTACGGGCCGTCGCCGTAGCCGCGGTTGAAGATGACGAGCAGAACGATGAGGACGACCTGGTTGACGAACTGGCCCCAGCCCTGCATCAAGAAAGCCATGGTGACCTTGCGGCCGCGGTGCAGGCGGTCATCGCGCGTAGACATGCGGCCGGCCGCCACCGCGTTCTCCATGGAGGAGGTGGCGGTGATGGGATATTCGCCCCCGACGCCAAAGCCGTAGAAGAAGAGGGACCAGGCGTAGAAAATGACCCAACCCTGGAGGGAGGCGGCCCAGCTGCCGGTCAAGAGCAGCAGACCGATGAACATGATGGCGGCGTCCTGAATGAGACCGTAGCGACGACCAATCCAGTCACCGATAACCTGCGACAGGGTCAGAAACTGTGCTCTCACAGCGGGTGATGCCAGCACTTACACCAATGGCAGCTTGGCCAATCATGATACCGACAATCTCGAGGTAGGTAACGGAGGCAACCCAGTTCTGGGTACAGACGGTGTGCGACTTTCCCCAGCATTCGGGCCAGACGGCAGCGAAGAGCGGCTCCAAGTTACCGATGGAGAACAAGACGTAGCCCTCGAGACCGAGACCGGCACCAGGGAGAACGGCGTTGCGGAAATACCAGGAGACGGGCGACAGAGGGTCTTTCTTCATCATGGCTGCGGTGGCCCTGAGCTCCTTGAGGGCCTCATCGCGGTCGACCTTGCTAACGAAGTTGACGCGTTTCCACCAGGGCAGGTCGGCCCAATAAACGCCGTCGGGGGTATACGAGTCGTCGGGGCGCGTGACATGGCCGAAAATCTGGCGTTCGTATTCGGTGGTATGCTCCGTGGGGTAGTCATCGCCCGTCTCGGGGCCGTGAGGCACGGGAAGGACGCCGATGGGGGCAGAATGGCGATGGGTCGCCATTGTGTTTAAAAAAGTCGACCAAGGTGCGCGGAAAACTTTCTCGTGTCGTCAGTGGAGAAGGAAACCGAACAAAGATCACCTGGGGTGGCCCGCGCGTAGATGACGAAGGGAGGGCGGCGGGTGGTGATTAGAAGTATATCTCGTCGGGTGTGCCGTGGGGAGACCAAAGCTGAACCTTGGGACGATCGGACGGTACCCGAGGACAAGGTTCACTCGATGATGCGGTTCCTGACTTTCACCCTGGCGAGAGCAGGTGAGGGAGGATGGAGGGTTTGATGTTGGCCACGGGGAAAGAAGTGAAAGTAGAGGAGACACGATCAGGCCAAGAGGGAAGGGAGCAGATATAAGCAAAGTTAATACTGGGATGGGGTGGTGGTGGATGGCTCGAGTGGGCAAACTGGGGGGATAGGGAAGTGGAATCGGTCGAAGCGCGTGGAGACGTTGAACCAGGTCGACTCTGGACCAGTGCCAGTCGAGGATTGAATCCCGTGGCAGGCTGAGCTGCTTCAGCGGCGGGCCAACGATTCTGCTATGTGCGGAACGGTCCCCTGGTTAGTGTATCCGTAGACAGGGTACGGATAGTCTCGAAGCTTTTGCCGAGTTGAGTGATCAAAGGTACATATCCAGAGCGGCCCGGTCTCTCTTAAGGTCACACACAGATAGACTGAGGGCAAAAAGGAAGCTAACGATAAGAGATTAGGAAGACGAAACAATTGAGGGACCAATGGTTCGGGGCAGCAAGCAGAGGCAAAGCAGTAATCAGTAACCAAAATGACGAGATGTAAAACCTGCCGGTATGAGCACGTCCACGGTGTGGCTCGGATGCGACAAACCAGAAGACGGCTAGCAGACTAGGGCCGATGTGTGTGTGTGTGTGTGTGTGGCCACCCTGCCCACTTGGACCAGGTATGTAGTTGACCCTTTTTTTTTGGGGGGGAGAATCCCACCCTCGTCACCACATTTTCCCCAAATGTCTTTTACAGTGCAAACAAGTCCCCTCTCGGCCGAGATCAAAATTGTCGACTTATGAAAGCCGTCTTCTGCCTGTCTGCAGTGTACACTATGTAGGTGGTGGGGAAAAGGGAGATATGCAGATAGAAAGTCGAGGCGTTTCTTCATGCCCTGCTGACTCGCCCCCGCCATTTGCCGATGCAGAGCGAGCCCTTCCTGCAGCAGGAAGGGCGAGCAAATGGAGAGGAAATCGACAGGGGGAGGACGAAGAAGAAGGCGACAGTTGGTGGAACAGACAGATACTATGTATGTACTTGTACGGATAGATCGTCGGACCAATCTCGCCTTCCCGCCTCTCATCCGCCCCGTTCCCCATAGTAAAAAAAAAAAAAAAAAAAAAAAAAAAAGAGAAAAAAAAAGAAGACACCGCTGCTAAGCCCATCCTCCGCCTTCCATGCACGCCGCGGCCGACGAGCTTAATGGAATGACGTCCCAGGAACCCGCCGAACCGAGACCTGCACAGATGGACCAATCATATGCCCGCAAAGGAAAACGTGCCAGATCGATTGACTCCCGGCAAACCCGCACTTTCGGCATGGCTCCTCTTTTTTATGCACGGCGCTCCTCTTATCATTACCACCCGGGACGGGAGCGCAGAAAATTCTCGGTGCCAGATGGACAATCGTACGGTAACTTGGTGGTCTATTCCCCCCCGCATGCCTCGCCAAGCCTCCATCGTCTCCTTACCATCGTGTGCTAGCCGCCTTCAAGAAACTGCTCGTGTGCTCGCCTTCCCCTTCCTCTCGTCGCCCTCGTGCCCTCCCTTCATATTTGCGTCGCCAAGCTGCCAAGTCCATACCGCCCCATGCCTGCCACGCACATTGGCAAAGCTTCTTTGCACTTATCCTCTCAAGACTGGCTCCTGGAAAGACCAAGCTTCCACCGTTATAAATCATGATTCAATCATTTTGATCAATTGAATACATTTTTATTGTCCTCGAAAAAACCAAACGAAAGGGGCAAGGAGCACTCGTATTTCAAGTCACATGGTCAACTTATAGATAGAGCAATGTCCTTTCTTCGTCGTCGCCATCCGAACCAATGCGTGCGTGGGCGGGTGAACCGACCGTACCTCCGCGCTTCTACTCCCGACAATAGCGCTACTATTACTACCACCATTAACCCTACGTACTCCTTGCCCTTCCTTTTCATCATCCAAATAATAAGGCAATCACGGAGTCCCATCTTCAACTAAAAACCAACCTGGTCCAAGATGTCAACCACACTCAATGCCGACTTACCTATGCCTATTGTACGTGCCTGCTCCCAACTATTATTATATTCCATCCTCGTTGAGCGAACCTTGTTACGGCGACAAACTACACCCGCGCCTGTGTATTGCCACTTGCCAGCTGCGGGCGAGCATTCGTCGCCGCCGCCGGCCGACCTCGACGGTCCGAGGGCCTTTTTTCTTTTTTTTTTTGACCCGTGACGTTACCCAGCCATGAGACAGCTCATATCAACGTTACCGTCATCGCCCGTGCGTTTTGATCCATCATCCGTAGCCTCCCGCTGCTGCGTGTGGGTGACTTCGCGGGCGTGGAGCAGCTGGAATCGAGACAACATATCAAACCGTCGCCAAGTATGCGTCGCCTCACTGGGAACTTGTGATGACCTCTTGGCATAATGCGTCGGGACAGAGACAAGACGTCAAACGTCAGACCCAGTGACTGGCAGCGACTCCATCGTCATCATCATCGCCAAGGCATTTGAATTCCTGCTCAAGCCATACTTTGTGCAATCTGAGAATGATTGTATTCAGTCTTGTTTTCTAGGGCCTTTTTTTTCCGTTTCTTTTTCCGTATCAGCCATGACCTCCCCGACTTTTTTAGCCGTCACTTCGTCGGACCAAAGTACAAATGACTAAACGCAAAAAAATCGGCTCAGGGGCCCTCCTTTTGCTCGGCGCAATGATACTACTTCGAGATGCTTGTCAACTAAGCCATACTTGCTCAGTTTGCATCTTGTGTATCAAAAGGTTAAGTTGCTGTAACTCTACCCCGCCGCGCCAAGGACCCCCTGATCCTGCCCATTCCTTTTCATGACCCAGATGCAGTTTGTAAGAAAGAGCCTAAATTGTGTAGACACAGAACAATATAGATAAGGAAAAGGCGAAAAAAGGTTCCAGAGTGGTGTGGTGGTTGTGTGTGAGCAAGGTCATCGCCAAGCGAAGAAAAAATTGTGTGCAGAAGAATGAAAGTCGGCACACGCAAGGCAAGGCAACATCCTCGCGTCTGCCCAACGTCGCAAAATGCAAACACTGAAATAGAACCCCCCCTCCCCCCGTCGTGTGACTCTACCCCCTTCCCCCGAGGGCCTCCGGGCTGAGCCATTCCAGTTGAACCCATAAACGCCAAACCCTTTCGAACTAAAACTCAAGGAAACGATGCAGTCTGCGTGTCGCTGTTGTCCCCGCTAAACGCCTCGCTGTCGGGAAAACAACTGGATAAAAAAAATAAAAAATAAAGGACAAAGAAGGGGAAAAGACAATGATCCATCTTGTTTTGGAAACGCCCTAACCGTCGTGGGCTTCGGCGGCGCTCGGCCCCGTGCAATCTCGTTCTACTGGTACCCCAACAAGCCTGACCTTTCCAAGGGCCGCGGTGTTGGCTCCTCATCCGCAACATCTTCTCGGTTGGTCGGTTGCGGTCTCGGCGTCTCGTCGACGTCAGGGGCATTAGACTTTTCTTCCGCGTTGACACCGCTGTCCGGAGGCGTCCGCGTGGATGCATCCCGTAACGTCTCGTACGAAGGCATGTCAATTTCCTTCGAGGGTGTGACAACTTGAGTAATGGGCTCCGGAGTGCTTTCCGATCCAATCGTGACACTGTCGTGGCTATCGGCCCTCATCATCTCAATTCCAAGCTTTGAACTAGGCAGGAGCGGCTTGCCCCGGAATAGCTTATCTCGACCGAGGCCGAGCTCTTCGTCCTCATCGTCGGCCGAATCTGTTCCCTCGGCGAGGCGCTTCTCTATGTGCTCTTTCCTTGCCTTCAGCTTTTCCACAGAGTGCTGCGGTACTGATCTCCGGGTGTGCTCCAGTTGTCCCGGTGCGGACTGCTGTGTGACAAGTGGTGGCAGAGACTTGGGTGACTTCACTGGGGGCGCGCTCTCGTCCTGGGTAATGCCCAGTCCACCTTCGTTCCAGTCGCCGGTGGCCTTTCGACTGATGACCACCGGCACATCATCAGTTGACACCGACTCAGAGTCTCCGAAAAGGCTGGAGCTGATAGAGTCCTCTCTGCTCGAAGTTACCAGACTGCTGCCCGGCCGTCCAGCGTACAAAGACGAGCTTGAAGTCGGGCTGTCGTCCGCTCGACAACTAGTCTGACGAAGACCGGATGGAACGGGTTGTGAGTGCCCCAAGGACATCGAGTAGTTGATGCCGGGCGACTCTGGTTTCCACTGGCAGAGATTCTTAAGTACCTCGGTCAACTTAGAACTCGAGATCGGCTTCTCAACCAGGGAGTCGAAGTAATGAGGTGCTTGCAGCTCTTTCAGGTAGGCCGTGATAGCGACAATTGGCGTATGGGAATTAGTGTTCTTGGTCTCCCGAATCATCCGAGCCACATCAGCGCCGTTGATCTGAGGCAACCTATACTCCAAGAAGATGATGTCGAATTTGATCTCGCTCATAGCGTATCTTACGGCCTCGGACCCATTGGCCACTGAAATTGTCCGACAACGCAACTTCTCAAGCAGTTTTTCCATGACCATGCGAGACACCGGATGGTCCTCACAGATCAAAACGTCCAATGGCCGGAACATTGGGCCGCCGTCAAAGGCGATTTGAGAGAGGCGGCGCGAGCTCTGGCGGCGCCGCTGCACCCGAAGAAGCGCATTATGTTTGTCGCCCTCGTTATCGGATGAAGAAGGAGACATGTCAAATACCTGGCTACGACGATTGCGGTGGTGCGAGAGCACATCCGAAGCGATTGGGCTGCCTTCTTGGGAACCCACAGTCAAGGACCTTGATCGACTGCTCGATG